AATCTTGAGATTTTCTAGGCTTTAGACAAACTAGAAGATTCGTTCATTTGTTTGTTTGTGTTTTTTTCTTTGCAATTGACTAAGGTGGAAATCATTAGATTTTCAACGTTACGTTCGATAATATCCGTATATGTGATGATTTTTATCGGCATAAAGTTCACATGCAAATAAAAAATCTCATATCATTAAAAAATGTGAATGAAATATATTATATATATACGAAAGATTTAAGAACTCAATAGTTTAAGTTTTTGGGCTCAAATGATGTTCAACATATATATATGAACTTTCTGATGTGTTTTCATATATTTCAAATGTGATTTATCTCTCCCACAGCTAGTATTAGGCCAATGTCATAAATTCGAGTCCTAATAGTATTGCTAGAGGGAGATTGTTAATAGATTAAAGGTTGGTTACGTTTATCAACTCCATGTACTCGAATGTCGGTATTAAAGTAAAAAAGTTCGATTTAGATGCAACGAGTGTACATAGCAGAACTTAAGTAACCGATATATTAAGTCAACCTAGAATGCAAGCTTAAGAGACACTGAGACGAACCTAGGCTTTAACTCTATGTACTCGAATGCTCGGTATCAAAGTAAAAAAATTCGACTTGAATGTAGCGAGTGTGCAAAAACAAAACCAAAGTGAGTGATCTATTGAATCAACCTGTAGTGCAAACCTAGGTTGCAAGATTACCTAAGTGGGCGATCTAATGAGTCAATTTAGAGTGTAAACTTAGACTACAAAGTTGAATGTTGTGATATTGTCTAAAAACGTACTAAAAATGTAAAATCGTTTAGTCCAAAAGAGGTGTTAATAAGATTTACTCATAAAAAAAATCAACTTAACCTAAAAATACATTAAAAATATGAGATTATTTGACCCAAAAAAAAATATTGATAAAATTTACTTACACAGAATTTACCTGTACGAGTGTCTAAATAGAACTTGATTAAAACTTATAAATAAACAAAAAAAATTGTTATGATAGAGTTCATATCTTCATATATATATATATATATATATAGAGAGAGAGAGAGAGAGAGAACTGAAAAACTAAATAATTAAAATTTTTAAACTCAAATAATATCCAATAAATATATAAACTCTTTGATATCTTAATCTCCGAGTATTGTTTAACTCTCCAACAATTTCACTCTCCATGCGGTGATTCTGTCGCAATACGCGAACGGCATGTTGTTGTACTGTAATGGGCCTGCGCCTTGTCCACCATATTTGGGGGTTGCCCAGGGACCAAAATATCGGCCCCTCGGTGACCACCCGAACCACTAGTTTGTAACTGGTAAGGTTGAACAGGAAGATAGCCTGAAATTCTCCTCCTGACTGGAACCAATCGACAGAATTTAGTTACCACGCCAAAATAAAATTAAAAAAAAAAAAAAAAAGAATGAAAGTTTCCGCTTTCTTCTTGTTTGTTTAAAGTTTGGTTCTCCTTCATAATTCTATAAATTGAGGTTAGAGACCTACTCAACACTTAAATTTCCTTTAAATGTTTGCTTCAAGTAAAACCAAGATCCAAACGTGAAATTAACAACAGTGAAATCATATATATTATTATATTATAATATACGTAAAATTTTAATAAAATTTATTTATATGAACATTTAAATAGATCATTTATATTATTGATGTGTAAAATAATTTTAAATAAATTTATTCAATTAATTATGTAATTTTTAAAATTTTTAAATTTATCTAAATCTTTTAAAATATATAAATTTTATTCTAATTTAAACTAAAAATTAATATAAATTAAAATTTTAAATTATAAAAAAATATAATAAAAAATTCTCTGCATGGCACAGGTAAAAAAAAAAAAAAAACTAGTTTTATTTATTCTTAAACAGAAGATATAGGTAAAAATGAAAAAGTGAACAAGCAAAATTCTATAGGTTGCATTAGCAGGTTGTTAAACGCAACAGCAATCCTCTTCCGTTAATTTGGCATACATTTTCCTCGTCTCCTTTTATTCTCCACCGCACATCAGAGGACCCATGCCACGTTGTGGACAGTATCCGACCTAGCCAATCGTATGAATCCTAATTCCTCAGCAGATAACCCATTTCTCCACCCATTCACCCTGCCATTGTCATTATCACTTATCCCTCCTCAAATCCAAACCACACTCATCTTATTAAAAGGCAACGTCTCTCTTTTCTTTTTGATTTCCTCTCACTCCTATTCAGAGCGCACTTCTATTCAGGAAGCCCTGCGCAATGGCCTCTGTCGCCTCTGCAGCTGTTGCTGTCCCATCTTTCAATGGCCTAAAAGCTGGTGCAACCCCAGCTAAAGTTAGTCCCACAGCCAAGGTTGCAGCCTCTCCAGTCCCAAGGCTCAGCATCAAGGCAGCCCTCAAAGATTTTGGTGTTGCTGTTGCCGCAACTGCTGCAAGCGCAATTCTTGCTAGCAATGCCTTGGCCATGGAAGTTTTGCTTGGTGGTGATGATGGGTCTTTGTATTTTATTCCCAGCGAATTCGGCGTAAGTTCTGGAGAGAAGATTGTCTTCAAGAAAACGCTGGCTTCCCGCACAATGTTGTCTTCGATGAGGACGAAATTCCATGCGGCGTCGATGCCTCCAAAATCTCTATGTCTGATGAAGACCTACTCAATGCTGCAGGAGATTGTTAGAAATTTTAAGAAAACAAAAATAATATGAAAAAAGAAAATATAATTTTGATGCATGAAAAATATTATTTTAAAAGTAATTATATTTATAAAATAAAAAAAGTTTCAAAAATTTTTTAAATTAAAAGTAATGAAATTGATAGGATAAAAAAATTTATTTATAACAAATAAATAATTATAAATTAATTTAATTTAAAAAGTTATAATATTTTGTATAATTATTTTTTAAAAAATAAATTTTATTTAAACAATCATTTTTTTATTTAAAATATGTTTATTTAAAATTGATAATATTTTAAAATAAATAAAATAATTTAAAAATTAAATTTATTTATTAAACAAGTTCAAGTATTTCAAGTGTTCAAATGTTTATCTTTTAATTTTTAAAATTATCTGATTCATTAAAATAAATTTTTAATAAATTTGAATGATTTGATTCACTTCAACGTTTAATTTAATTACTTAATTAACATAAATAATTTTTTTTAATTATATATAAATGATATTTTTACTTTACATGAGATATATCATATTTTAAATTACCGTATCTAAACTACCGTCAAGAGACTTACGCTGTTACCTTACAGAGAAAGGAAGTTGTAGTTTCTGCTGCGCTCCTCATGGTACGGTTGGAAAAGTGACCGTTAACTAAGTTATTTCAACACTTCGTGCACGTGCCATCTCTTACATCTATTTTTTGAGTAATAGAGTTTGACGATAAAACGTTTAAGGTGAACCTGAAAATTAGGATGCTTTTGTATCTTTATATCTATCATTTACTTTGAATTTGTGTAGATTTGGCTGTAACCTGATTTTAAGCTTTCTTCCCATTCAATTTTCCTTGAAAAAGACAATCTCAATATTCTCAATGCCAACAAGTTGTTTTAGGCTTTTAGCTTTGTTATCCCAAAAATGGAAGACAGATATATATGCATTTCGGAGTGCCATGGGATCTGTAGCAGACCAGATTATTTGGCTGACTTTTTTTCCATTCTAAAATGGCTGGACAACAAGGGGCAGCCCTCTCCATTTATGAAACCTTTGGCCAAAGGAAACTCTTTAAACCTTCCTGCTGCAACTTGAGGTGGAAGAATTGAAAAAATTTAAGCCAAATAGTACAGGTTATCTGATTGCAATGCCTAATGCTTTGTTAAATAGACCATAGGAAAGAAATTACAAGCCATTCGAATGTTAACCCAGAGATGCCTTTGTAATCTGCACTATGTTGGCAGGAAGAACTAGACTTGCCCCAGACTTGTCTCCCCTTCTTCAGTGTCGAATTGAGTTCTTACGGTGATATGGACAACCGAAAAATATTGAAGCCTATGTAGTAAGAGCATCAGGAACCATTGTTCGATATCCTAGGACCTTGCCACCAACATCCGGAAAGGTCGCCTGTCCAGGCGAGGGGCCTACTTTGCCACTGCTATCTATCTCAATGGTGTATTTGAGCAGGTGCCCCTGTAAATTTGTAGAAGCCTCGTCCGTGTACCTTTCCAGTTTTCCTCAGCAATAATGTTCACACTCTTGACGCAATCCAAACTTTCAGGTTTCTTAAACAAATCGTCCACCTATTCCATGTGTTCAACGCACAGCGACATTCTGTACCCATAAACCTGCATGTTCATTGATCAATCTGATCAATGTCACTTCTCCAATATTAAGAGGGAGAATTATAATTGCATCAGAAAACCAGACTATGGCCTGTGGAGTAAATTCTTTGGCTAGGCACTTCATGCTTATCCGTTAACAGTTTCAATCCCCTTCCCAACAATAACTATGAAAAAATCATTAAAGTTTAAGCCTATTTTATTAGCAAGCATGCTGGTGCGGTGCATGTATGCATAAACATTAACAAACGCCAAATCGAGGTAATAATTATTCGAAAGGAAACTTGAAAATTAAGTTGATAAATAACAACGTGAAAGGTAGGTAGGCATAGGTGAAAAGAAGAGTCAGGTTTTTTATTTTATTTTATTTTATTTTTTTTGTGGTTAATTTTGTTGTTTCTTCGCATTGGCTATAACCCGAGAAAAAACAAACTTAGGCGTTAGTTTCATAACAGCTGAATTCTGTTTGTTTTCTACGCCAAACCCAACGGCGATGATCGAAGGCTCTGACAAGGAACAGAAAACGAGAACTTTACGGATTTGTTCTGCTATGGTACGTTAATGATGTTTTTCATTTAATTTATGCAGAAAAAAAAATTTGTGTTAAGATACACGTGGCTATCATTAATGTCAAGTTCTTGTTGGTTTCTCTGATACTCAAGAAACTAGCTTTGCAAGTCAAGGTTCCAAAATGGCCTATCTTTACAATTCTAGCAAGAAAAACAAAAGGGGAAGTTCCATAATCAGATCAAATTCAATCAAAATTAAGTTGGAAGAAGCAAAGAGAGCACCATTTATGGAAGCATATTTGAAGAAATTATGCTTAAAGATGTGAGTTATGGTCAAGCTACCTGTTTCACAAATGTGTGGCGTTGAGGGATAAACTGAACTGATGGAAAGGATGGGCTTCAACAATTTCATAGTTGTCAGCCACGTGGTGGCACCGTCAGAGCCGACGGTTGAGAACAAATTACAATTAATGCCACCAAATCCATGACTACCCAAGGAGTGAAGCATTTTTTTTTTTTGGTCGGCGTATGGAGTATGGAGTGAAGCTTTACTTACCCATTTTCATCAAGTTTTCACACTTTTTGTGATGAATGTGAAAAAAATCCACAAAAATATCCTTATATTTGCTTATGACCCCAGTTCTTGCATTTCTTCTGCAAGAAAGCTTCATTTCATTTCATGCCAAGCCAACCTGGTTGTCTCTCTCTAGCTACTACTTAATCCTAATTATTATACAAAGTTCAAGGGATGTTCTCGCTTTGAATGATATAAAACATTAGTACTATGAGCAGGCTCCTTTCTGCAGCAACGATCGAGCAAGCTCCATATCTATATAATACCAATTGAAATGGTTGGAAAGCTTCAGCTTGCATAGCTATAAAGGACCATTTCAACTTAAGAAATTCTACTGAAACATTTCTAGCGGTTACTACTAATTAATATATACGTACTGTTGAAAGAGTTTCGAAAATAATAACAAGGTCCAGTAAGAAATGATTCAGGGTTTGGAACACACATTCCTTGCTAGGCTTCCATGTGGTTGCAGTTGCCAACTCTTTGACTTGAAATTGGAGAAATGGCTCTCATCATCAGACTCTGGACAAAGGCTATCATCTACATAAAAATTCTCTATTAGTAACTGTACCCACATGCAAAAGCAAGAAACCCAAATTTGCAAGTTCAATACACCGTTGTGCTCTGATGCAGTAATGCTCTTACCGAGGCAAAACCAACACACATAATACTGAAACCAGGGAAATAAAATGGTGCTCTTTCTGACAGGAACAAAGCTGGAAGAATGAGTTTAACTATGTCAGTGTCAATCCAGAATGAGCTTAAGGATCAAGTGAATTGAGTTTTAATTAATTAACCTGTTAGAGGAGAGAAAACCAAGGGAGAAGCAACATTGGCAAAGGAACCTATGCCTGAAATGAACCCTTGAGCCTTCCCCTGAAAAAGGGTCAAAAGGAAATAGGTATCTACTAGTTTGTTTTAACACAGCAACAGAACCAAAGGAACTAGTAAAAATATGTGGATAATTCTTAATTAAGAAGGGAACTATCAGCTGAAAAAGATACATACTTGGCATATTCAGATCAAATTTTTTGATGATCAAAGTTAGTTAAATCGACTTCCTTTCTGTTTCTGGGATTTGCCATTATATTCTCAGGTAAAGTTTCTAGGACTTATGTTTGATGTGCCTAATAGAGTACAATTTGTCTGGAATTTATTTATAAGCTCCATTTCAATTACACCATGGTAAAGGAAAAAGCTTCTACTTATTGAATGAAAACATGATTTATCTTCATAAGACTGATGCTAAAATGCTGCCAAAAAGAAGCTTATCTACCAAATAATACCTGCTCACAGGGCCCAACTTGTTTAGATACGATGCTCCGTATCTGCACATTTTAAAATAAAAATGGGTCGCAAAACATGCTAGAAGATATGTTGAAGATTTTGTAACTTTAAAGGAAGTAACAAATCTTACGCATGGCTGTGAAAAAACATAGAATAAGGCGAACACAGCTGCTGCATAAGATACCTGCCATTTTACAAGGGTATTGGCCATAGTAAGATATAACTGAAGCTAGTTGAAGGCAAAAGGACTGTTAATCTTATTAATTGAAGGAAAATAAATTTTTGAATGTCAATTAAGTTGAAATAATTACCCAGAAGGACCAAGCAATGCTATAGAAGATCATCTGCATTCCAGCCCATAAATTATTAAAGAAAGAATTAGAACACATTACAATAACAACAATTTACGCACAGGATCATTTCACAGTAAACATATGGTCAACGAAATTCTGTCAAATATCAATGGAACATGTAGCTTACATGTGCACAGTTAAAGAAAAGCCCTATTGACAGCAATCTCTCCTCCCCGAAAACAGGAACTAGTATGGGCATAAGAAGCAGCTGCAAGATGGCTTTCAATTCAGATCAACAGGAAAATTGAAAATAAATGAAAGAAGAATGCAAATGACTAAAAACAGAACAAAAATGTCATGCCTGGGATATTGTCCCTGCAACTCCAGTAATGACCATTAAGTCAGCAAACTGATCTTTGTTGAAGTGAAACCTGGCCTTTAAATAGTACTGCACAGGAAAGTTCAACGATTCATCTTCTTAGATGGAGTCGAATGCTTCACTTATATAAATTATTTATGATATACATCAAAACCTATTGCAAGCACAAAATTTTGTTTTCCCGTTTATTAAGATTATAAAAGTTTAAATGGCAACATTGGTCAAGTTCATGAAAATGACTATCAAAACTTATTAACCCGAAAAAAAAAAAAGGAAAATTGACACAAACGGATTGATATATAGATTTGTAAATGACAACTTTTGAATCCAAATTTACAGCCACATGTAATTGTACAAGGAGAACCAAAGAGTTTTATCCAATTCATTGGGGATTAGAGAGGTACCAATAATGAAGCATGGAGGCCCACATCAGCAAGATTGCTGAAAAATGAAACAATTGCTGCTTGCGAAAACGTCAAGCTGTAGATTGTTTCCATTCATTTAAGAACATTAGGTACTCACTAAAAAAGAATCAACAGCAAAAGCATGAAGTATAAGGCTTGATGAGACCTAAAACTTTTTATCAATTAAAAAACACTTGAAGGCACTATATGTTGAAGGAAAGTTTAGATACCTGCTCTTCAACAAGGCAAGCATATCCTCTATTGAAGGCATAGTTTTAAACATCTGTATTTTCTTGCCTGACTCATCCGGATTAACAATACCATCAAGTTTCCCTCCCGAGATAATTGGAGTAGAAAGATTGTCATTTATGATCGAATCCGGGAGGAAAATCCTCATGTAAACCGCTGACAGCGTGGCCATTGCTGCCGCAACCTAGTAAAGCAGATAATTAAATTCGGTTCATAGGAAAGAATTTTCATTAGGAAACGGAGAAAGAGAGAAACCTGGAAAGTGGAGGCATTAGAGAGAAAACGGGTGGACAGAGTTCCGCAGACAAAGGCACAAGATCCAATGCCAGATAGGATCCCAAAAACTGATGCTTTTCGCCCTTCCGGAACATTGTCTGCCTGTAAAACAGCATTGTCAAATTTCAAACACTGTGATCATTAAATGTCATGGAGGGAATTGTGAAACGGCCGTTATCTTTAAGACAAATGGGCAAAAGAGATCATCTGAGTGTGTGGAAGTGATCAATAAAATGGGCCCAAAGTGCAAGCCGATGTCTATTATCCTTGGATAAGAAATACCCATACTAGCCCACAGCCCGCACTACATGGATAGACTATCGAGCTTAATGGCAACTTTAGCAGGCCCCATTCAGTGAAAGAGAGGTTTACCACGTAAGCGAGGGATAGGCAGTGGACGCTTCCTTCACAAAACATGGCAGTGAGAATCTTGAGAACGTAGTAGGCATAAAAGAAGCTCCTCGTTCTGCTGTAAGCCAATATAGCTGCCAAAAAGAAGAATACGTCATTTTCAAGTGAAATTTTTGCCGTCACTTTTCAATACTGATCCAAACTCAACTAGTCACTCTTGAACAATTGCAATTTTGCGACACCATGAAATAAAGCTTCGTTTGGAGCCTACTACGAAAAGACCCTGCACCATGTTTTGGGCCCCGACATGCTACCGATGGTGAAGTACAAACAAAACCTTTTCAACTAGTATAACTTTGATCATAGAGTTAATGTATTCATTATTCAATTATGATTTTTGATTTATGATATTATCCAGGTATTCACTTTCGACCAAGAGAAGAGAAAAAAAAAGGGTTGCTAATGCTTTATTGCCACTTCTCCACGTTTCCTTTTTTGTTTAATAGATGTTATTTCAAATAAAAGGCAAGTAGGTCATTTGAAGCTTTTCTATAGTTTTAAGTTCCGAATAAATGCCACATTGCCTTGTCATTTTCAGTAGTGAAATTTGGGTAGTCATTATGATGAGTAGCTTCTCCCACAATCTGCCCTTGATAGCTTTGCTCCAAGTAAAAAAGAACCCATTTACTTTTGGTTGCATATTCCTTTTGGAGTGGTCATTGATGCACATATTCTGCTTAATATAATACTATATATTATCCAAAAATTACATTTTTACTAAAAAATATATAAATCAACCTTTTTATGACTATATATATGATTGATTGATGGAGATTATGGACGACATTGTAGTCAATATTTCAGCTAATTATCAGGTATAGCTACGCATACCTAAAGGAATGATGGTGAGAGTCATGGGGACCATAAGCAAAGCCTTCCTTCCATACTTGTCGGAGAGATTACCAACCAGAGGCATCATCACAAGGGATCCCAGCCCAATGGTCTGCATAAAAATCGTATGTTCCTTTATTTACAATATGGTAAGGCCTATACCTCCTATAATGCTTATGTAACATATTAAAATTTCAACTATCCAATAAAAAACAGAGTATCTATTTAAATGTAAACACTAGCAATAAATTTGCACGATTGTTAGTTCAAATATCAGAACAATCAAATAAAAGGTGAAAAATGAATGGATCATAACGCTGCTTTTGTTAACCCAAAAGCAGAGAATTATTGTTGAAGACAAGTGTATGGTAACCCCAATGAAAGGACGAGTGGCATATGCAATTTCCTAAAGGAAAAGTACTGCCGGTTCATAAAAGAAGATCCCGAAAAAGAAAGAAGAGAGAATGCATCAACTGACACTAATAAGATGTGAGTGTGGGTCCTCTCAGTCACTCTTTACTTTGTCTGGAAGTGCAGGAAATGTCCTTCCCTGGAACCGAGGGGAAGTTTCTTTTTTGTCTCTATGCCGGTCCAGAGTCACAACTCACAAGCTAGGAACCTGCAACTTTGTCCCTTCTGAACCTTTGTTACTTTTATATCCTTAAAAACTACAACCAAATAAACAAACTTGACCCCGGAAGATGGAAAGAAAGGTATTGTTTAGGACGCTTGGATTTTGATTTTAGAATGCAGAAGATGCTAACGTTGAGTAGGAATCAGTTAAAAGATATGGGTGTTATACTAACATAAATGCAATTAGTTTCAAGAAAACAGAATGACAGGGAAGAGTACCGCTCGTTAAATTGCTTTGAGATAAATTGCCAGTGAGCATTCAACTCTTCCAGGAAAAAGAGCAGACATGGTAACATCTATCGTGGCTGGAATCGTCATGAACGTTGCGACATTATAGAGGAAGAATATGAAACAAAGATGGTTCAAAGCCGGTAACTTTTCCATTTCTCACTTCTCTCTGTCTCTCAAGGCTCAAGCTTCTAAGCAAGACAAAAAGAAAAGGGAGCTCAGAAGAAAAAGCGTCCTCCCTGGAGGTACGAGAAAAGCTTAAAGCAGGCAAAGAGAGTATTTTGGAATTCGGAGATATTTTACACCTCATTTGGCACTCTCGCAATTAAAGTAAGCGGCCATTGGTGCACGTCAATTTAACTCCTGTAATAATTATAGAGGGACAGCACTTGGGAGGAAATTAAGAATCACGGCTAAGCGGCAGGCCTTGAACGCCGGCGAAACACAAATCAACTGACTAAAAAACAAGCCTTTGGCCCAGTAAACATTTGATTGAGCTCTTTATCCATACTTTTTTTCTTTTCCTTTTCCTTTTCTATAGGCAGGTGACAATTTTCATCAATGTCAATATTTTCAATTACTTCAATTATCCTTCTGGCAACACTTAAAAGGACGAATGATAAAAGACACATTGCTTGTCAGTTGTGAGTTACTCAATTATTCATTTATCTTTTTTGCATTTAAATTGGATAAACTCCAATTGTACTATTTAGTAAACATGCGTAATAGAAAACATAGGCCCTATGATTTGAAGAAAGATTTTATTCAAGCCTAAAAAACAGTTAACGTACCTAAAATTTATTAACATCAATATTTAAAAAAAAAAAAACAAAGTTTGCAATAAAGCAACTAATGTTCGAGGTATAATGTTGCTACAAAAAGCTAAAGGGTTTAGTCTATTTAAGTGAAATTTCCGACCAAAGGAAATGAGTGGAAAGTAAATACGAGGTGGATGGTGCTTGGGTATTGGTCCACATATACTTCAGGTTGAGCCAACATGGCAAAAAGGTCAAAAAGCGTATCCTTGAAATTGAAGGGAAATTTCGTTGGTAAGACAAACAGAGTTTAACTTTTTGCGACTGTCATATGTTCCAAAGATGAAGTTTCTGCTCCCTAGCGGTTAACAGTTTGTTAAATTGTAATTTTCAATCTCGATATTTCCAATTAACATTAACCAAAACCTTGAACTGTGTCCAATTAAGGACACCCTTTAGCTTACTATGATAAACTGCAATGCAACTAAATTAACTATCACAAACCCTACTTGCGCCTTAACATTTTTGGTGATGTATAACAGTGCAGCTTCATTGATTGGCAGAGAGAAGTATGAACGTATATAATATATGCAAGAAGAAGTAAAACTTAAAAATGGGATTACCGCATGTTGTAATCCAGAGAGGTAAATGGCGAGAGAGCACTCCTCTCTTCCAGGACAGAGCGCGGCCATTGTAACATCTGTGATGGCCGGAGTCACCATGCATGTGGCGAAGTTGTGGAGGAAGATTGTCATGAACAGGTGGCTCAGCCCTGGCAGCTTCTCCATTTCTCTCTCTCTCTCTCTCTCTCTCTCTCTCTCTCTCTCCACTTGTCTCTCAAACTAAATCTAATGAGAGAAACACCTATAGGATAAAACTAAAGCTAGCTCTATCAATCTAAAAGCAAACACTTTCAAAGCAAGAAAGTGATCAAGGACGTTAATTTAAAGAATAAGTATTAAGTGTAAACTTTGCCGTTTTATACAACTCTGGCATATCCATTTGGCTAATTGTAGGAGAATGACAGACAAATCAGAACAAACTCGATGTCAGGCGGCTGGGGTCTAGTGTAAATTGATTGGTCTTCTTGATGCCATATCAAAGAGACAATATCACAGGTTGTTGCTTTAGCCACGCTTCTTTTTCCTTTTTCTTTTTCCTGTTTTCTTTTAACAGCCGAAAAGTGGAGAAAGAAGCTAAAAACTAAGGTAGAAGAATACGTAGATTACAATACCTTCTAAGGGTTAAAAAAAAACTTCAAATAATAACCCGTTTGGAAGCGTGCACCGTGTGATTAGGTTTCCAAGCGTAAAAGCTTGAGTTAGGCCTCATTCATTTGGATTATTACCAAAACAAAATCTTTACTAATGCTGCGTTTGTTACAATGGTCTAAAACGTCGTTTTAAACCCCAGCTCTGCCACAACGAACTTATTCTCTGGATTATTAGACACACTTTCCTTAGGTAGTTCCTAAATAAAATTGCGTTGGCAGCACATACAATCGGAAGCCAAAAAACAACGATTATAAGGCTATCTACAAAATGCTGAACTAATCAGGATTATCTAGCTTTTCAAACAGTAGTAAGATAGAAGTTCAGTTTCATGGTTTTGAAATTTGTGAGTTTCAGTTCCTAGCAAAAATATCAACCTTTGAGCTTACATAGTACCTGTTCTATTTTAATGAGCCAACATGCAACTAAAGAGTACCACGAGTTTGGACCAACTTACACAAAGTTACGGACCTCCAAACTGAATGTAACCCAACTCCTGAGTTTTGGTCTTTCCTGGCAAGATCGCTGAATTCTGATGGTCTTCAGAACCCCATTAATGATTACCATGGGTACCGGGAACCTAATATTTGTGGGCCTAAGATTGTCAAAAGTTTGGCCCAGCGTGGAGTTGAGTGATTATTGTGTTTGAGGGAAGAAAAGGTTTAAGAAAAATATTCATTCATTTGTACTCCCATGAGCATCCAAAATTGAATGAGTGATTCTGGTTACCTTCAGAAAATTTCATGGACTATGACTAACTACATAACGGATCAAATACTCAAAGCCCTTTGCCGTGTGCAATGATTGCCACGTAAGACACGTTCTCCTTAAGTTTAAAACCTAGTTTGGGCTGTTCATCATCTCAGAGAACTTCCGGTTCTGTCAGCTTGGAGAAAGGGCTACACACTTGAGGTTGAGGGGAAGACTATTAGGTCCACTAAAAGGGTTAATCTTCGAAAAAATGAGTTTTGTGGTAGTCTTGCCCACTGCTCAGTCTTGTATCTATAGAGCCTGGATTCCGTTCAAAATTTGTAAAAGTTTAATAGCATTATGATCTTAATTATGATATAAAGATAAATATTTAGGATTTGCTACAGTCCACATGCAGGGAATCATACTTTATTATCTTAATTATTTTTATTTTAAATTAAAACCATCAAATCCGCGGATATCATTGTTCTCCTCCGCATTATGCGCAGCATCAAAATGTTGATGATTCATTTTTTTTTAAATTGAGAGTAAAATTCAAGGTTTAATCTAATTAATTTATGATGTATTTTTAATAAATTTCATTTAATAAATTTAAATTTTAATATAATATTTATAATTTCTTAATCTATTCTTATATTACAGCTTTTTATATAAAGAAAATTTAACAGTCACGAGATTAAAAAGAAGACATAACCAACTAAAAAATATGATTTGATATTATTTATAAGAAAAATATCATAATGAAATAAAAAATTAAATAAAAATTAAATTTTAGCTTTCTAATTATTTTCCTCATATCATATCATTTTATTTTTTTAAATTGTAAAACCGTTCATAATAAAAATTTTATTGGATATTTTTACTTATTATTAAATTTGACATATGATAGTAAATTTGTTTTAAAATTTAAAGTATAGTGATAGAATTACATCAATTAAAAAATTAATGATAAATTTAAATCACTCACATAAATATAATGATAAATTGATGTCTTATTAAAAATGTAGTAACAACTTGTGAATTGTTAGTAGTGTATTTATCGAGTATTAAAACCAAAAAAAGAAAAGAAATTAGAAGTTAAAACACTCTTGACTCAACTAACATTAATGAATTAAAAATGCGAAAATCAAAAGAAAAGGGGAAGGAGAAGGCTGATATCCAAAAGAGGAGATGGTGGTGTTCGGTCCTTTTCAAATTTAAAAAACCAAAGGGCAAAGAAAAACTGAAAAAGCGGTGAGAGATATTCACAGATCCAATGGCAAAAAATATCTCTTGGGCAATGCTTTTCTCTTTCCTTTTTTTTTTTTTTTTTTTTTTAAATATTCTCAGCGAAAAGTAAATGTCTGATAAAAGTGTAAACTGCATACTTTTAAAAGAAGCTTCCACGTGATTTTTCTTCCTACGCCCCACACAACTTGCCTCATCTACAAACGCTTTAGATTAGCGCTCCTTCCTTCCGATGCCAGGTTACGTGCTTCCGGGTCATAACGATTGAATTGAATTTGGTATGATTTTTTTTTAATATTATAAAATTTTAAATTTTAATTTCATTTTGAAGATGAATTTTATTTGATTTTAATCGAATTAAAATTACATTAAATTTGATTAATTTAGTTTATATATTTTTAATTTTTAAAATTTATATATATTATTTTAATATAAAATTTAAATAATTTAAATAAATTTTAATATAAAATTATTTTTTATTTTATAAAAATTTTAAAATATATATAATTTGATTTAATTTAATTTTTTTATTTTTAATTCAAATTTTAATTTTAATTTAATATATATTTTTAATATTTAAATTTAATTCAAATTAAATTAAAAAATTGATTCAAACCAAATTAAACTCCACCATTTCAAAAGGATTTTCAAATTTTTAGATTTTTTTTTTTCACCCTTGATGTGCTTTTGTCTCAGTCCCTATGTCCATCCAGCTTTTGTCCTCTGTTTCAGCATATGACAATTGACAGGCAACTCTGATCTCCCCACAACTTGAACGGTTGAAACTCCTCTTTTGTTGTGTATTTTTTTTTTTTCCATTTAAATCTCTTTCACGTTCAAATTTGGAAATTTTATTAAAAACAAATCTACAATTTTCATAGTAGTTGGGTTTTTTTTTTTTTTTTAAACGTGGTTCAGAGTTTCAGGCTGATCCAGAGTTGTTGCTGCAGCTGGTAGCACATGCTATTTGAATGATATAGAGTGGAGGGATTAAAAGTGTGAAACCAATGACGGTAAACAATTCCAATGGGTTTCAAATTAGTAGTAATACCATTTTTATTAAAAAAATCATAATTTAAAAATAAATAAAAATACAGATATTAAATTTTATTAAATATATAGATCAATTAAATTTGTCATAACTCATAAAATAAGTGTAAAACTAAATAAAACAAAGCTGTGTAAGAGTTATTAAACATATATAAACAGTGATGGAAAAATATATTAAAAAAGTAAATATATTTTAAGAAAAATAACTTACATCTTTAATGTATATATTTAAGTAAATTTCACTCACCATCAGTTACCATTTCCCAATTAAATTCATGACAGTCAAAGTGAATGATGCAATCCCGAAAACAAGCAGGTGAACCGTATGCAAGAGATCCTCCAGCCGAAATTAATTCACCAGAAAACAATGCGACCAAAATCCAAACCCAGGGAGCTTTTAATGCTTCACCAGATTCTAGTTTGCAATTAAAGCAACTTCAACAATATTAGGCCAGGCAAAAGCTTGGATGGATATTTATGACTCAACAGGGTTTTCTATGAAAAAGATGTAACTAGTTTTATTGAAGTTAAGTCGGTAACTCAGAAAAATATTATTCAAATAAAATTTTTTTCCAGTTGGCCGTTGTCGCGTGCGTTGACCGTTTTCTCTTGTAGCATATTAAGACTACAAATCGACAGGACAAAAATACAATTAAAATTTATTTTAATTTTAATATATGAAAGTTGAAAAAAATATTTAATTAAAAAATATTTTTATAATTAAATGATTAAAGTAAAAGATTATTCAAAATTAAATGTCTTTTCATATATTTTACCCCAATAAAAATTTAAATATTGTGGAACATGTTGTGAGAGTACGTGACAAACAATAAAATTAAAATTGAAGATTCTTTTTGAAATTAAAAATAAAGGCGCATTTACTCTAATAAAATCAGTGCGTCAGAGAAAAATATCAGGGATTTTTTAGTTTTAAATTTCAGAAAAATACGTAATTATATGCCTAACTATTCATATATTCGAGATCGCGTATAAGGCGGAGTGATCGGTCACTGCCAATTCTGCTCATGACAACTGTAATTATTACTACTATTTCGAGAGTATAACCTTGATCAGATGTAAATCATAATAAATGTAATTAAAACTTTAGCTTTTTCTTTTTTTTAGAAGGCCGACCAGCTGGTATTATCTTTTTCAATCAAAAGATCAAGGGCCATCCAATCAAACATGGAGAAAATTTCTGACCAGATATCTCTTATCCAATGCTAGATTGCCACGTCATCTGTTTTATTGGTATAAAAAATTCAATATAAATTAAAGTTAATAGAAAATGTTTTATATATGTTCACTTTTATTTTAGGTAATAGTAGAAAATAAATAAATTCATACTTTCTTTTTCATTTAGTTTGGAGTAATAGTAGTATTTTTTTTTTGGGGGGGTTCACTTGTCCAAAGTACCATGACCCAATGCCAAGACAACATGACACGAAGTCATGGACATTGTGTTTTGTTTCACCACCCAGGTTTCGCTTTCTTCTTTAAATGGTCCAGGGAGATATTTTTCCACATTCAATTTTCACTTTTTAACAGGCTAAGTTTATCATTCTAAGTATTTAATTTTTTTTTTTACCAAAAATTGTAAAAATCTAGAAGAATCGGATATTAAGGCGTTAATGGTGTTTGAAATTTCCATGTTTGATCAAAATTCAATGCCTTTTTTCTCCTTGATGAAGTATTATTGACTCGGAATAAGAGAGATACTTGGAAAAAAATTAGGTAAAATTTTAAAATAATTGTAGAAAATGTTGTTACATTTAATGCACTATTTTTATTAAATTTAATAAAATTATAAATCTATTTCTTTAAATGTTATTAATAGAATAATATGTATAATATTTCTTTTAATAAAAAGGAAAATTGATTCAAACTTCCTTTAAAATTTTATAAAACAAAATTCCGCAAATTTTGTTAAGCAGGTAAAAGTTCCATTAATTGCCAAATGCGTTCTACATGCTTATCCAACTTCAATTAAAAATACGTGAATTTTATTTTACTTGTATGTTTTAACATATATATATATATAAATTTGAGAAAAAAATCTACAATACGAGGAAAAATATCAAAATATATACACATTTCAAAATGCTGAAATTTTGTTGTTTATTTTATTTTTTAAGAAAATCTTATATAATTATTCGTTAAGATATTCTTATTGTAAATGTCTCTACATTATTAATACAAAAAATTATTACTAATATGATCCTATTTGATACATTCATTTAACGAAATCATACTCCTTATTACGTATAAAATATATTTTTATTTTTTTTAAATCGTTGCAAAATACAGTTTCTTAATACGAATATGAATACATACAAAACAAAAGGGGGTAAAACAGTAAATATAGACCTACATCAGTAATTTTGTTTTCTTTCTTTTGTTTCATCATCTATGTTCTACAATTTCTCAGCACGCGCGTAGCGCGTCCACTTTAGCGCTAAATACGCTTGCGCATGTCACGATATTTTTCTCTTTCATTTTTAGTGGAGGTGGGTGAGTATTGTACTTGTGCTTTGCCACTGTCACTCGCTCAATCTGAATCGCTCTTTCTCCTTTTCTTTTCTGATGGATTCTCTTGCTCTCTTCTGTACTGGGGCTCTTCTAATCTGCGGTCTTTACTGGTTCGTCTGCCTTTTAGGCCCAGCCGAGCAAAAGGGAAAGCGAGCCGTCCATCTCTCTGGTGGTTCCATCTCCGCTGAAAAAGTACAAGACAACTACAAGCAATATTGGTCTTTCTTCCGCCGCCCAAAGGAGATCGAAACTGCCGACAAAGTCCCAGACTTTGTCGATACTTTTTACAACCTAGTCACCGATATTTACGAATGGGGGTGGGGCCAATCCTTCCACTTCTCTCCTTCCATCCCAGGGAAATCCCACCGGGACGCAACGCGCCTCCACGAAGAGATGGCCGTTGATCTCATTGAAGTCAAGCCCGGAGATCGAATCCTTGACGTCGGGTGTGGCGTTGGTGGACCCATGCGTGCCATCGCGGCTCACTCGCGAGCCAAAGTCGTGGGCATCACGATCAACGAGTACCAAGTGAACCGTGCCCGGCTTCACAACAAGAAAGCTGGGCTAGATTCGCTTTGCGAAGTTGTTTGCGGGAACTTCCTGGAGATGCCATTTCAAGATAACAGCTTCGACGGCGCGTACTCGATAGAGGCAACATGCCACGCGCCGAAACTGGAACAGGTTTACGCCGAGGTTTTCCGAGTGCTGAAACCCGGATCTCTCTACGTGTCTTACGAGTGGGTCACAACTGACAAATACAGAGCAGATAACCCTGAACACGTGGAGGTCATTCAAGGTATTGAAAGAGGTGATGCTTTGCCTGGACTGAGGAGCTACTTGGACATTGCGGAGACTGCTAAAAAGGTAGGCTTCGAGGTTGTCAAGGAGAAGGATCTAGCCAAGCCACCGGCTCTACCCTGGTGGACGAGGCTTAAGATGGGGAGAATCGCCTACTGGAGGAACCACCTTCTCGTCACTGTGCTGGCTGCCATAGGGATAGCTCCTAAAGGAACCGTTGATGTTCACGAGATGCTGTTCAAGACCGCTGATTATTTGACCAGAGGTGGGGATTCAGGAATTTTTTCTCCGATGCACATGATTCTCCTCAGAAAACCCGAGGTCCATCCTTCAAAATCTTAGCCATTTTGTTGAGGTAACTTGTTGCAGGATTTTGTTCCTCCTCTTGTTACTTTAGCCTCTTTTTTTTTTCTAATTTAATTTCCTAGGTTTATTTTTTTCCTACTTTAATTAATGGAGATCATGTATTTCCTTTTTTTTTAGTTTTATTTAAATTCCAGTTGTTGATCTTGGTTTTTAATTTATAAAATGTTGGTGACAAGGAAAGGAACGAAACGAGTTAATTTTTTGTTGAATTCAAGTGGATGTTTGTGATGGTGGGCTGTGACTTCGATGTGGGAACACAAAAACAGCTTTCCTAAGCTGTCAACGATGGTGAAACCACATCCCAAATAAACAAAGGAAACAAACACTTCCCTTTGTTAAATTTAACCAGAGAATAAAATCTTCTCCTTGGTTTTTTCATTTCACTCAAGTAGTGAAAAAATTAACAGTGTAGATCTAAGTTGACATTAAGACTAAGAACTGGGTTGCCTATGTACAATCTGAAAGAGGGTGAAAATTTTTTAATTCGTTGCAGTAGAGAGTAAAAATCTGATTTTGAAAAGTGAAATCCGAAGCCGATGGAAGTGAGGAAATGGTCTGATAGGCAGTGGAGAGAGGGCGCACATGGAAGGATAGGAACTTTTGCATCGCAGCTAAGGTGGCGACGACTGGCAAGTCCTCTTGGGCGTGCATCTTCGGCTTTTTGTGCGTTTTGTCACATTTGATGTGGTTTATTGGACTACGTATAAGAGGATGTGGGCCACAATTACGTCGGATCTTTCAACGCTTCCTCTCCTTATGTCGTATTCTTAATACCACACTGAATTATCAGTATTTGGTCTCTGTGGCCCTTAAACATTTTGATACGAAACAAAGCCGAAGGAGAGAGTGTTGGAAATTAGTAGATCAGGAATGGGATTGTTAAAAAGCCCGTTATGATGTCATTTTCCTTTTTCCATTTTCAAAGCAGAAAATTTCTTACTACTTAAATGAAAATTTTATAATGCTATCAGGCAAAGCTCTACAGGAGGCTGCAATTATTCCCTATGAAACTGAAACTTACCTTCAGACCCTTGGTCGCGGCTTTGCCACCAAATTGGAAGTAAAAACTGAAAACCAGGCCCAAGTGTTCACTTTATACAAGCCCAATTGATCTCAGTCCAGCGGACTTGGATATCTCAATTCTCAATCTTCACCGGTCTACTTGTTTTTAACGAACAAAAGAACACGGGATATCAAGCGAAGTGATGTATAAGCGGAAAAATCTACCATCCAAAGTGCTCAAATATCATGACCAATGATAATGCAGAAAGGAAAAAGACTGAAATATGTGGACAACACGAACGAAAAGTAACCAAAACGAGAGGTTGCAATTTTTGTTCAATGAGAATTTTGATTTCATCCTCCGTTTTTATTTATGTTCCTCAGGTGCCCCTAGAAGGAACTCCAAATAGTTAATTCTTTCTCAATTACCTCACTCTAATGGCTACAATCACAACAAATTTCTTAACTTTGCCACCTCCTGACCTTCTTCTGATCTTTACATCATCCCAAAAATCAGCTCTCTTTCCTCTCATGGTTCCTTTCCATCATCCTTTGTTACTAGGCCTAGACCTTTTCCAACACGACTGGAAACAAGCAAAACCTCCCGCTTCATTACCAAGGCTACAGCTGCTCCTGGGACAAAGAAAGCTCCAAGTGATGAGAGAGTGCAGCAAGTTCACAGCATAGAGGAATTCGATGAAGCTCCTCGAATGGCTAAGCACAAGCTTGTTGTGTTAGAATACGCTGCTAACCCAAATAACATAGCAATAAAATTTACCCTTTTATGGCAGATCTTAGCAGGACGTACAACGATTTGGAATGATGGGTAATGAATCGGAAAAGACTAGGGAGCTTTGCAAAAGAGAGAAAATATATAGAGAATGTTCCACACTTTAGCTTCTACAATAGCATGGAGAAAATCCATGAAGAAGAAGGGATTGGCCCAGATCAGCTGATGGGCGATGTGTTATACTACGGCGACAGTGATTCAGGTGTGGTTCAGCTGATTTGGGCAACTACGATTGATAGAGCGCTGCTGGATTGAAATGATTAGTTAAATATTAATAAAAACATAAGGTTGAAAACACTTCCTAATGAAATTAAAAAAAATGTTTTAGGTCTATAAAATTAAAATTTCTAAGACCTTTCTTTTTCTTCTCATACATTATAAAAAATCAATGGTAAGACTTGCCATTTCAGGCATCAGGCACCATTGCAAAACCTGGGGCTGCCCACAACCATCAAACACGCCGGATGGTAAAACCACGAGCACAATTATAATGACAATTATACCCACTGTTAACAATTCAATGAACACTACCAATGGTTCACTGCACCATTAACAAGGATAATTTTGTCATTTCGAATTACCCTTGCCAGAGACACGACAATGTCTGAAAAAGCTTCTATATAAAAGCCGCGCCCTCAAATGGGCGTCGCAAAGTCGGTTAGTCCTTCAACGGTTCCGTTTTCCTCATCCCCGTAGAAAATTTGTTCAAGTTTTTGAATCTCCGTTTTATCCAAAATTCGGATTTAGGGGTTTTGTTTTCATTGGATTGATCTCTGGGGTTTTGAGCTGAATGCTTTTGTTCTTGTTTTAATTCAAGAATGGCGAAAGTGAGACATTCTAGACTACAAGCGAAGAAATGGTCGACAGTAACGCTTGTGTTATCGATGTTGTTTATGTTAACGGTCGTTTTATTGATGCTTTTGGGACTAGGGATTTTCTCTCTCCCAATAAACAGCGATGATTCTCCTCCCAATGATCCCCCTTCCTATACACGCATGGCTTTTGAAAGGTAGTTGTGGTGGTTAAATTCCTAACGCATTGATCTCTTCCGATAGCGATGTCTTTTCCTGATCGTTTTCGTTAATTTGAATTAGTATTTGGGCGGGATTTTGATGCAGAGGAAAAGGTTTTGGGAAGAGGGGGGAGCGGTCGACTGAAGTCCTTTCTTGGGAGCCTAGAGCTTTCATTTATCATAACTTCTTGGTTAGCTTCTATTCTATTCTTTTTCTTTTTCTTATAATATTTATTTGTAAATTACTTTTACACAAATGTGTCAAGGGTTTTAAATAATTTGAAATTGGCAATCTCATCTTTCGGCTTGTATATGATTACGGTGGGAAATTTTGTAATTAATGAGAATAATAGTTCTCCTCTGGAAATACAACGCAGATGGATTTGATGAGTTGAATAATTTACGAAGGAAACCTTGTAAAACCCTTTTCTTTTTCCTGAATTGGTATAATTCTGGCCAGTGAGTGCAGTTTTATGTAGTGTCTGTTGAGTTTGAGGTCTTCCTCTTAGTTTTTGGTTAATAATAATAACAGTAACAGTAGTAGTAATGATGATGATAATTACTTTTTTTTTTTGGGTTGTTGTCTTGATTTTGACTTTTTACTCCTTTCAACAGTCCAAGGAAGAATGCGAGTACCTAATAAATCTTGCTAAACCTCACATGGCAAAGTCCACTGTTGTTGATAGCAAAACAGGGAAAAGTAAAGATAGCAGGTTTGCATTTTCTATCCTCCTTTATTACCATTCGATTAAGTATTTTTATTTCAGTTCTTTTCGTTCCAAGAGGTGGAATGGATTAACCCAGTTGAAGTGTAATCTCTTCTTTTGTTGTGATTACAAATGCTAAGATATGATGTTAATATATTGAACATCAATTCTCCTCTTTATGCTTTTCTCGAAAGTTATTTGAGAAACCCTGTGTTGTTTGAAGATCAGTTATATGTTGAACAACGAACCTAATGTTACGTCTTATGACACTTAGATTGTTCGCAGGGTGCGTTCAAGCTCGGGTATGTTTCTGAGAAGAGGGCAAGATAAAAGAATTAGGGACATAGAAAAAGGGATAGCGGACTACCCTTTCATTCCTGTAGGTATGAGATTCTAATACCAAACAAAACCTTCTACAAATATTTTACTCTGAAACCAATAATTATTATTATTATTTTTTTTTTGCAAAAATATGTTGAGATGTCTTTTTATGGAAGCTCCTGGTTATGAGTCTCAATTAAACCTCAGTAGACGTTAGTGGCCATGTGCAAATGGGATATTTTTCGTCCTGTTTCTCTCTAGCATATTATTATTTACAGCAAATGTTGTCCAGATTAGATATTTTCTAATTTTTTTACTTTTTTAATTTGTTTTTGCAATTAAATTGATTGTCCCTTTTTTTTCCCAATTATTGCATTTTCTGTTGGTTTATTGTTTTGTTCCTTTTATGACTTAAAGCAAACGTTGTAATCTACAGAGCATGGAGAAGGTCTTCAAGTTCTCCACTATGAAGTTGGACAGAAATATGATGCACACTTTGATTACTTCCTTGATGAGTTCAACACTAAAAATGGAGGCCAGCGGATGGCTACTATGCTTATGTATTTGTAAGTTTTATAATTTTCTCTGTACATGTGCATGATGCATTCCACACCCAATCAAGTGTCACAGAAACTTTCTTCATTTCTCCTTTCTATATTTGAAAAAAAATGGATTTGTTACCTCTTACCATATTTTCTGCTAATGTTGCAGGTCAGATGTTGAAGAAGGGGGTGAGACAATATTTCCTGCAGCCAAGGTAAATGTTAGTGCTGTACCTTGGTGGAATGAATTGTCTGAATGTGGTAAACAGGGTCTTGCTGTGAAGCCTAAGATGGGTGATGCATTGCTGTTCTGGAGCATGAGACCTGATGTCACACTAGATCCTTCAAGTTTGCATGGTTTGCAGTTGATCCCCTTCCCACCTTCTTTTTTCGTTTTTAATCTTTAGCTGTGGTTCAAGAATGACTAAGCCGTTTTACATTTCGATAGCAAAAAGATTTGAACTGTTATCCATTGTCGTGCCATAAATGTTTGACAGTTATGTTCGAAAGTTATTTCTCATTTTATCATAGCAACTTGTAGTTATCTACTGCTAAATTAACAAATAAATTTAACTGTCTTACACGGCTGATGCCAGGTGGATGCCCTGTGATTATGGGGAACAAATGGTCCTCTACGAAGTGGATGCATGTTGAAGAATACAAGGTGTAAGCTGCTCTATAGAGGTACTTGTAATGAGATTAGAAATGTACGAGGTCCCTCAAACAACCTTTGGAGAAGTTTATTAGCAGAGCTAGCTAGCTACCTAGCTTTTTCAATGATAGGTCACTTACTTGGATGAATTACCATGTATATGCTAAAGGGTCAAGGAGCGTTTTTTGAGGTTTTTGAAGGTGTAGAGAGTTAAATGAAATTATGGCATGAGAAGATAGAAAATGCAGAATAATCATACCCGTACGCTTGGCTTGGTGTTTTTGTGATAGTAAGCTGGTTTTAACTTTTAATGATTAATGTTCTTATTTCTGCCAGTTGAATTGATTCTTTATTAGTTTGATACGTGCTGTTTTTTGCTTGACAGGATACCAAGGTACATGTCATAATGGTCCAGTACTGGGAGAGTGTGATTCATGTAACCTTTTAAACTCAGGTCCAATATTCTTTTATCTGAGATTGAGAAGTATTTGTTCTTACTTTTTTTTTTTTTAATGGTGTTTGCCCTTGAAAATACTATCGGCATCCTGCACCAGTGAGAAAATATGATGTCATACTTGATAGATTCATTAGGAGATAGGAACATGGGTCGCTGCTGATACATCAACAGCCGACTGTAAAATATCATAATTGTAGTGAAGATGGAAAGAGCAGAAAGTTGGACGAGTTCAAGAATGGAGTAGCAGTGTAGATGATCCCTTTTTAGTTATTCATGGTTACAACGAGCAGTTACTGTGTCTTTATTTCCCATTCCCCTCTTGAGTTCCTCTTTTCATCATGGCTACAAACTCCTCATAATTGATTCTCCCATCCTATCCAGTCCAATGATAGAATCATTTATCCAACACCATTGAAATTTTAACGAAATTATACGAGGAACAAAAAGATAAAGAGTGATTAGGAGGACTAAAAGAAGAAAATTACCTTATCAGTATCAACATCCTCAATCACTTCATCTACTGTAGCCTCATCTCCCATTCCATACTCGCTCATGGCTTGTCTTAATTCATCTCTTGTGATAAACCTGAATGAAAATAAGAATAGTAACAATCAAGTCAAGTTAAACGATACCATGAATGTTAAAAACTTAATAAAGATCTCATTCTGGAAAATATGTTAGCTCATGCTAACTAATTTAGGAAGAGTGAAAAAGAAAAGGAAGTAGTACAATATATTTACCCACTACCATCTTTGTCAAAGAAGCGGAACGCCTTGTGTATATTTTCTTCCCTATCAAGCCTATGTCGATCCATTGTAGCAGTGATAAATTCAATGTAATCAATGGCTCCACTCTTGTCAACATCAGCCTGATAGAATAATAAAGTTTAGATTTTCAGAAGTTGCCAACTTGAAGGAATTGCATATATCTCAAGGCTCATTTCCATAAGTAAATGGTTTCAATAAAAAGAAGAGGGGGAAGGGATTATATAGTTCGATAACTCTTACAGCATCCATAAGTTGCTTTATTTCTGTTTCCGTTAGCTTAGATCCCAATCGAGCTAATCCATCCCTGAGTTCTTCTACAGTTATTGTACCACTTCCGTTTGTGTCGAAGTTTCTGAACATGTGATTCAAGCCCTTGATCTCTTCTGATGATAGGCTTTCTGCTATCACCTTCCAGCAATCAAAATTTCAGATAAAGATATCAGCTGGTGGGAAAATGAAAGAAAGAAAATGAAATTTGTGCTTTTATGCTTGAGTAAATTATTTATCCTAGAATAACATCACAAATGCAAAGAATATTGTTATCCAAGATGTTTAAATTGCAATTGAGTTTCAAATGAGTAAAAAACCAGAGGCATTGGATCATACCTTTAAGGCAAGCTTTTTGAGCTTGTTCATTACTCTGAACTGCTTCAGCCTACTAAGAAGAGCACTTTGAATAGGTTTGTCAGATGCATCACTACCCACATTCATCCATGGGTGTTCTGGTTCAAATACACAAAATGAAAAACATTAATTGCCCACTAATTACCTAATTATTTTCTGCATTAAGATGAAACCAATATTCAATGTTGTTAATTTGTATAGAAGGTTTTTGCCTAATTTTCAGACACATATATCATTAGTTCTTTACCTAGGGCTTGGGCAGCTGTAATCCGTTTCTTAGGGTCCCTTGCTAGCATCTTCCTGATGAGGTCCTTTGCACCATCAGATATAGATGGCCATGGCTGGCTTTTCAAGTCCAGATTACCTTCTAAAACTGCTTTAAAGATTTCTTTCTCAGTCTCTGCAACAAAATTATTCATTAACAGATGAAAAAGGTATCCGAACCAAAAGTAAACCCTTTAAAAATTTCCAGAACAAGTTAAATCTCTCTCAGAAAATGAAGGGATGGACAAACCAAATGACAGCATGGATGGGAGGGAAAGTAGCAAGTCATTATGAGCCCTCCAATTCTTGTTCTTTGAATTTTCATATGTACTACTTTTGTCAATATCCATATGAATGGTGACTATTTGGTCTCAATTCAAATTTCTATGGCAGCACACAAACTGAAACAGGAAACTGAAGTTGTTATGTTGTGCTGGACATTTTGTGTTTCCCTACAGCTCTTGTAGCACAACTCTGCTTCAATTCTCTCTTGGATTATTGAAAACTTTATCCAAACAAAAAAAAAACATAAAATTTTCACATACCACCCCAAAATGGAGGCACTCCACTAAGAAGAATGTATAAAATGGCTCCAGCACTCCACATATCAATCTCCTTGCCATATTTCCGCTGTAACACCTCTGGTGCAACATAATATGTACTTCCAACAAGGTCCCTATACATTCTACCTGAAAAGTTAAGTGAAATTCAAATGCTTATAAGTAGAATTAGACAATATGAGATTCATGATTACTTGGAAAATCTAATGCATAAATAAATTCGAGAAAATCAAATTCGAAAAGCACAGAAAATAATTGAGAAAGGTGAAGTTGAGAAAAGATACTAATATACACAAATGTGATGTCATCAAATGATAGTTCGTAAATCAATCAAAGAGGGGAAATGCTGTTGTAACGGTTTCACCAAAAATCAATGAGTATAATACTACATTCAATCTGAATAGTTGACCATTAAATCTATTTGGTAAAATCTTAACGTTTTGTGTTGGATATCCATGGATTTTATGACAGCATCAGATAACTTGCACGATGATAGCAATTCTCTCAAAGAGGAGCATGTATCTCATGCATGGTGATGAGACATGAGAGCAAAAATAGCTCCTGCTGTGCCTGTAATGGTGCAACTCAATTGTCCACAGTCCAAACCCCTTAATTTCTTTTGTTGAATCTGATGTAGATTAATCAGTGCTTTCACTTTCACAGCAATATGTCTGGTCTTTTGGACGTATAATAATAGGCTAAGCATCTGGTTTAGTCATGAATCATTATGCCATGAACCTACAACGTGATTCTTTTTCTAATTAGCCTTTTATTTTGTTCTATCGATTCTTTCTCACCAGTATGAACTTCGTACTTAGAAAAAAATATCATTGACTTGGCTGACCGGTCCCCTTCTTCATTGACTTGGATTGGTTTACCCATGAGTAAATCTAGAAAGAATAATGTGCAGAGTCCGCTTCCGGCTCTAATTGATATACCCAACTTCATTTTTATTGCTTTAAGTTTTTAACAATGGAGATCACTGAAAACGCCTTAATCAAATTTATCTGTTTCCTGAAATTGATTCTAGCAAATTTGTCCAATAGTAAAACCTGGGGTTTAACCGAAATAGGAAAAAAAATCATAATATAATTTCAAAAAAATTAGAGACTTTGATCAAGCTATGGCCATGTCTGACAGAAAAAGGAACGATAATATGTATCATGCAGGAGTTGGAAGTAATCAAAGATTTAAAAGAGAAAGATTGATTGAGAACCAACTTCAAAAAACAAAAGCATAATAAATCAAATAGAAACAGTAAAAAGTAGTAGCTAGCCTTCCTCAATGAAGACAGAGAGTCCAAAACCAGTGGCCTTTATTGGAGAATTCAAATCCTTGCTAACCATCAAGAAATTCTCAGGCTTCAAGTCTCTATGCATAACCCCCATAAAATGACAGATATGCACCACATTCACAATCTGCCTACAAATTGAAGCCGCTTGAGGTTCTGAATAACGCCCTTTAGCTATGATCCGATCCAAAAGATCGCCACCTGAACACAACTCCATTACCAAATGCAGAGAATGCTCATCTTCATAGGCATCTTTGAACTCAACAATATTTGGTTGCCCAGCTAGATGCTTTAGTATCAAAATCTCTCTTCTAACATCTTCTACGTCCTTGTCAGTGGTTAGTTTATGCCTCGAAATAGAATTGCAGGCGTATTTTCTCCCTGTTGCCTTTTCAGTGCAAAGATAAGTGATGCCAAACTGATCTCTTCTCAACTCTTTGTCAATATCATAAATGGTGGTGATGTCAACATAAGGTTTGAGCAAAGTGGTTTCAATCAGGGATGTTGAAAGAGCTTTAGGAAAAGAAGGATTTTGGTTTTCCATGGCTGGTTTTTGTAGAGTTGGGTTAAACTGTTCTTCGGCTGTTTTGGGCAATAGTTGATATGGGCGAGGAGAAGAATCGGATGAGGAAGTGATTGGGATTTCATTAGACTTGGATTTTCCCAAGCAGAATCCCCGAGATTGGCAGAGTCCCATAGTGGCTGTTAACAAAACAAAAGAGTTGTCTTTTTTCACCTGTTTTCGTGTGATTTTGTTTGATTGAATTGTTATGATTGTTGCATGAGCATCCAGAGACGTTTTTTCTTTGGTTATACTGTTGCATTATTAGGTGCTTTGCTTTTGCCTCTGGAATGGTCTTGAGTATCATTCATTACCTTTTTGTTTGGGTTGACTGACTATGCTGTGCTTTGCTTGAGAGAGAGAGAGAAGTAAATAAGGGAAAGCATTTTCCATAAATAGAAGGGGGGATTTTAGGGGTCTGTTTCATGTTTCGGAGCTTACTTCGTTGTTAAAGCTCAAACGTTTCATTTTACCGTTTTGTTTGATTTTATAGGCCATTTCCATTTGTATAAAATCCCATTCAAGCCCAAGGAACCTTGACAATTCCCAATGGTGTCGTCGATCTAGGAAGATCGAAGAGTAAGTTGGATTTTTTCTTTTTGGGTTGAGTAAGAGTAAGATCACTCTCAAATCTGGCTCCAAAACCAATATCTATACCTAACTAACCTCAGGCTAGTATTAAACTATTTGCTTTCCTCTTCTAAATCCAAACCCAACTCCCCGTGAATGAATCGTCCCGTCTAAATTCAACAACTTAGACTGGGCACAGCAGACTCAGATGATACGAAAATGGCATTTAGTTTAATGCTTGAATTTGAATTTGGTTTTGATTAGATAAACGCATTTGGCTCTAAATTAAACCAAGTCCCCTGGAATAAAGGGTTGTCTAAGAATTCTCGAGAAAAAATTCCTAAGATCACTCGTCCAGGAAAAGAACCTCTTGTTCGATTTGCCTTCGTTTTTTCACATTTTGGCCTTTCTGTTCTGTCATTTCTGCTATTTGATTTGATTAGCCACTCTTCCTGTCAGTTTCGAGTGTTCTGACTAAAGTTCATTTAATCGAAATACGCTTTCGTTGATCTTTCTTGTATACGGTTTCGAATTTCCAGGACTTTTTACAGGGAGAAATAATTCATAGCATGGGGTATAAATCTTGCCCTCTATGCAGGAGAAATTTTTTATGCTCCAAGTCGAATACAGAAAATTAAGTTCTGCCCCTGCCTCTACTCTTCTGAAGTATGGACGCACTTATCATCGACAAAGTTTCCATTCTTCTTGTTCAAGCTCGACTACAGAGTTCCGAACTAAACGGGACACAAAAACCACGCCAGAATTGTACTAGGAATTTAGAAATTTGTACATAATATTTTCGTATGCATTGTTGCCCTTCTTATTACATTTAAATCATTATGTAAAATTCGAGAAAAAACCCCTTTTCTTTCGACGTTAGCTCTTTCTTTTCATATTGTTTCAATGGGCGATGTCATTGGCAACTAATTTCAATGAAATTTCCACTCAAATTAAAGGAGCCACTGCCAAAGCTGACAAAAATAAGATTTGAAACGACGTTGGAAAGTGCTAAAAAGCAGCCAATGCAAACCCACGAGGAATATATAGTGCCACTAGACTTTAGACTTAGACAAAGGCTATAAATCCAACAACTTAATCCAATCTCCTATCCTTTTTCATCGCAGTTTGAATGACGAAATAACGTCATGAAAATACTGTTCTCGAAAAGCTTCTGGGTTCTCGAAACAAAGAATACTTATGACTAAAATAATCACAGGCCATGAACTTGAATGAAAGTTTTAAGGAAACCTGTTTCTAGAAATAGACATGTAGTGCGCTGCAGTCGTAGAGAACCCATTCATCGAGACTGATTTCCGTCGAGGTCATGCAGCAAAGGCAAAGTGTTTTTGGTGAAGCGACCCAATGGCAGACTTAATTCAAATGAAAATTGACATGATGTTGATAAGCAAAGAGCAGACTTGCTTTATCAGATCAGCTTGTTGCATCACGACTGTAGTACTGGTCAAGTGTCTTTGCAGGTATACGGTGGAGAAGTTCCCGTGGGAAGATTCGAAGCAAAGTCCATGCTAAATCAAGTGACTGGAAGATGTTGCGAGTATCATAAGCACCTTGAGTCACGAATTTTCTCTCAAATTTATCTAGGAACTCCAGATAAAGCTGGAAGATGATAACATGGAGAAAATCAAAATTCAATTCTTAATATGAAGCTTTATGTTTGATAACCTTGCATGCAAAGCCGCACATGCATGGTATGGAACCCCCACACAAAAACACACACACATACAAACAGAGAGAAAGAGAGAGAGAAACCAGATCCTCAGAAGAAAGTGCTTCCTCTCCAACCACAGCTTTCATTGCTTGAACATCTTTTCCAATAGCATAGTTTGCATATAGCTGAAATCAAGAAAAGCAAGGTTTCAGTGTGTATAACAATAGTACTTAAGTGGAAGGAAACCTTGCTTCATTTTAGAACTTCTCAATAAGACCTGGTTGGACACATCAGCATGATCTCTACGAGTCATCCCTTCACCAATAGCACTCTGAAATGTAAATAACGAAAGGAAAAGCTCAGCATAAACTCTAATTTATGTGTCCACTTATTAACAAGCAGGTAAACTTTCTCATACAAGATGAAATGATAATAATTAACAGTCATACCTTCATTAATCGAGAAAGTGAAGGGAGTACATTAATTGGTGGGTATATCTGTTAAGAAAATAAATAAACATAAGATCAATAATTATACATACTGTTCAAACGTAAGCACTGGCATTCCATATGTAATTACATCTATTAGGCAACTTAAGATTTTAAACTTTGAAAAAGGGAGTAATTTTAATTTAATTGAATTTGACACTGTGCATATGCTACAGTAGATTCTAAAACCATGTTCAATAATTAAAACAATAATGAATATTGTTTCACTCACTTGTCGATTGTGGAGTTGTCTATCAATGTATATCTGCCCTTCAGTAATATAACCAGTAAGATCTGGTGTAGGATGCGTGATATCTGGTTCACAGAAATCAACCAAGTACTATATCAGACAACCAGTGTTAAAACTTAAAAGAATGCTGTATTTTGTTTTTTGTCGGAGTTGCCTCTTACCATCATTAGGCATGGTCAAAATAGGAATTTGGGTAATAGAACCTTTTCTTCCTTCTATACGCCCTGCACGTTCATAAATTGTTGCCAGATCAGTATACATATAACCAGGATACCCACGCCTTCCAGGGACTTCTTCGCGGGCAGCAGATACCTACAGGCACATATAAAACATGATGAATGACATCAGTCCAGAATTACATTCATCAGTTTATCAGATTTAAGTCTTCTAAGTCACTGTCAAATGGATTACATTCACTTTCTAAAGTCATCTCTAACTTCCAAAAATACCTATGAAAGGTCTTAAGAAAACACAAGGTTGCCTTTGAGTTTCTGAGTTAAAATAATTAGATGTTCAAAGAGCATTAGCAGAACGTTATTTGCCAGTATAGGGATAATTTGACAAAGAAATTATGTGCCATATATCCTCCCAGCCGAACAGCTATAAAGCATATGTACCTCACGAAGAGCATCTGCGTAAGAACTCATATCTGTCAATATAACCAGAACATGTTTCCCACATTCATAAGCCAAATACTCAGCGGTTGTGAGGGCAATTCTTGGTGTGATAATTCGTTCAATTGTGGGGTCATTGGCCTGGAGACACATTAAACAGATCGGTTCATTGGAAAAGATAAGAGGAATGGGACTACTTTCTTGATAAGAATACTCATAGACAGTCATTTTCAATGGGAAAAACCTCATGACATGAATAGATATAACTTGAATTACTTTGCAGGAAAAAAAAATGATGAGCGAAAAATATTAATTAATGGAATTACCAGGTTCAGAAAAAGGGTAACTCTCTCCATTGATCCATTTTCCTCAAAATCTCTCTTAAAAAATTGAGCTGTCTCCATGTTCACACCCATAGCAGCAAACACAATGGCAAAATTGTCTTCTTCCTGATCCTAAAAGTCAATCCATAGAACAGGACAATAAAAAATTTCAAATTTGGGGGAAAACAAGGGGAGGGGCCATATAAAGGTGGAATAAGAGAAATGAACAATCTCACTTCCAAAAAAAATTGTGTATTGGTTCAATTCAGTTCCTAAAACAAAAATTATTGAAATCCACAAAATAAGCAATGAAAATCAAGCACACAGTCAAGCCAATCTTCATTAATATCACATTAGGCTACATGTAGACATACATCAAGGAGATTATCAGACTTTTCCAGCCGCTTTACAAGACCCGCCTGACGACAAATTTGAGCAGCTATTTCATTATGAGGAAGACCAGCAGCAGAAAAAAGAGGAATCTTCTGTCCACGAGCAATGGAGTTCATGACATCAATTGTTGAAATCCCTGTCTGAATCATCTCTTCAGGGTAAGTTCTCTCGCTAGGATTGATAGAGCTCCCTGAAAAGGAAAAATGACAGATATTTAGAATGGTACGATAAACTGATTCATCCTTCAACTATTAGAAAACCACAGTTTCCTGCAGACACTCACCAGAAATATCCAGGTATGCCTCAGGCAAAATAGGAGGGCCATTATCAATGGGTTTTCCGGAGCCATTAAATATGCGTCCTAGCATATCCAATGACACAGGCGTTTTCAAAACCTGTTATAACATAGAATAGAAGGGGCTCAACAATCAACAACCATACAAAATGACTAAACTGACCACCATGACTAGTCTAAAAAGTTTAAAATCACAAACAAAGAGGATTACAGATGAAAGTAATGGGTGTTCCAAGACTTTCCTATTTTAGAAAGCTCAGCTCATTCATGTTTAACCATAAAGATGTTATGCGACAGCTACTAGCACACATATCACTCAAAAAAGGTAAAAAAGGGTTTTGCATCAAAGAGCACAAGGTGAAAATAACATTTCAAAAATAAAACCCTAATGTTCAAAAGATCCAGTAAAGCTAACCATTCTATTTGCCATCCTAGTTCTACAAGCCATAATAAAAATGAAACCTATAGTACCAAAGAAAAGCAAACTTATCACCTCTCCTGTAAATTGCACAGTTGTGTATTTGTTGTCAATTCCAGATGTTCCTTCAAAAACCTGAAAAAGGAGAAAGAGAAAAGAATAATGCATACACCTTCTCAACAAACTTAAAGCCATTCCAGAACCAATTGTCACCTAATGCTTTCAGGAATTCATATCTCATGGTAATGATTTTACTGGCTCTAGTACACACATGTTTTGTATCAGGTATGCTGTTCTCCTCCACATTATTTGATCCATCAATATGGACTTCAAATAACTATCAGATCTTGGGATATCTCATTATATAACACAGGCAATAAAACCTTTTCCTATGTGGCAGAATTCATGGTTGCATGCTTGGACAAATACCTGCACAACTGCTTTCTCTCCATCAACTTCCAAGACTTGACCACGTCGAGTGGTTCCATCTCCCAACCGAATATTGACAATCTCCTGATACTTTGGACCCTGAAACATTTCAAAATTGTTCCCATCATATCAACAAACTTGCAATTAACTCTGAAGATAACCAACAAAGGATAGAAAAGCAAACCAACCTTAACTTTGTCAAGAATGACCAATGGTCCCGCAACACCAGACACAGTTCTATACTCTGCAAACCAAAAATCTCCCAATTAATGCTCTATGTAATCTTCACACTAAGTAAAATAACTGTAAATTGTCACTCCCGCATCCCATTACACTTATCATACCAATGAAAAAACTTGAGTAGTCGAGTACTTGTTTGATTAAAAAATGAAATAATTAAACATCCCTCTTAACTTCACCATTTTTTTAATCCACCTAACCATTAAAAATACATATCCTGAATTTAAACATATTATATAACCAATCAACTAAAGATGACAAAGAAAAAACACTTCATCACCATCCAATTCACTTGCAAATAGGGCTTTGCATGATATTGCGATAAATAGTAAGGAAAATGTAAGCAAGGGACGAAAATTGACTAAGTTACCCATCCCGATCTCCAGAGTTCCCTCCTCCATGTCAATGAAGTTCTTTTCCGCACCCATCTTCAAGTAATCAAAGTTCAAAGCTGAAACTAACATTAAAGAACAGAATCAGAAAAACATATCAGTATTCACTACACCGAACCAAATAGTTAAGCAGATCAAAAGAAAACAGAAAATTTGACAAAATTAATTCGGATCCAAACAATTAACCGCCGTTTCTTCGGCTACTGATTGAATCTGAGTTTGAAAAGATTTGAAACTCTATCCTTACCGCTGAATTCGATTGAGCAAAGGAGAAATTAAGCAGTAAAAGACAAATAATTTATCAGGTTATGGAGGGGAAATGGTGGACTGGAGGGATCTGATAAGGGAGAGTGGGGAATTTGATTGAAAATAATAACAATAATAATAATAATTGCAGCAAAAATCGACTTCAACTTGCCTTGCTCCGGTTATTTTCTCTCAAGTTTTTACCCTTTGATAGTTGCTGCTGTCACGAACACTTACAAACAAGCATGTGATCAGATGTGATGTGATTTTTCCTTTTTCCTTTTTCTATTTGTTAGTTAATGAATAATAAATTAAAAACAATTAGAAAAATATAAAGTAGAATTAAACGAATTGGCAAAAATTAGTTCTTTCTCCATCTCATTATTATATTATCTTTTATTGATTTTGTGTTAAATGAACTAAATTTTAATTATTATTTTTAATAAAATTTGAAAAAATAAACAAATTTTCTAAACATATTTCTAAAATTTTTAATTCAGTATAATATTTTAAAAATTAATAACAATAATTAAATTTATTTAACAAAAAATAAACATAAAAGTAAAAAATAGAATAAAAATAGTTTTTTGTGTTAAACATTTTATTATTTATTTATTATTTTACCCACCTTGGAAATTCATATCTATACCTGTCCCACTAGGACAATGTTTTCAATAGATATTTTTTGTATTATGCAACGTGGCAATCAAGATGACCATGGCATCATCGAAGTATATCCTCTTCTTCTTGTCATAGCTTCTTCAAAAGCCTATGAACAATTTCAATTATTTTATAGATAGACTATAGTTGTAGCACTTTAGGCTGCCCAAAATAGCAGTAGTAATTATTAGTAGCTTAACAAACGGTTTTATTATTGTTCTTTCTAATTGATTTTGTAGTAATTTTTTCTTGTTTTATTACGTTTATAGATTCCAAAAGCAAAAAGGCTTCCCCAAGCCTATTTCTTCAAAAAAGAAACTTCATAGAAGCTTCCTTTGGTTGATTCTTATTAGTTTGGACATCGGAGAGCTGAGCTTGCCACTTACGTGTGACCTTCAGTTGAGCAGCGATGAGACGAATGTGATGTTAAAGTGACCGAAGAAGGGAGAGGAAAAAATTCCAACATCACGTCCCAGCTTCCAGTACACATTTTCTTTACTGCCAAATGTGATGTTCATGGCTTAGCTACAATAATTTTCCGAGTAGAAACCCACATAACATTTTATAGATCATAGATGAAGGGAAAGCTAGCCAATCCCTAACACCAGATTAACAAAACAAGTCTGATAATCCTGATTAAAGCATATTACTCAAAGCTCAATTAGCAACATTTAGGATAAGCGCCAGCTCACAATTACCTGCCTTCAATTGAGCCTGCAGGTGCCACAGGTCTCATGCACCTGGGGTGCACCTCGTACCCACATTCCAGACATAGGTAAGCCCAACCAGACCCTTGCTCATCACAATCGCAGCATATAAAGGGACCTCCTCCAGTGCCTTCTGATACCAATGTAAGCTCATGGCAATGACCTGCATGATACTCGGATCTTGGTAAGCTCTTAGCTGCCTCCTCAATTTCTTTCTCTAGCAACTCCACTTGGGCAACAGTGAAAGGGTACGCATTTTCCTGGTACAGATTTATAAGATTTCTACCTTGCTTCGTTATTGTTTTGCCATCAGGACCTATAATTATCAAACAAGGATTGCCTTGCACATCGAAGTACTTTGCAAGGCTTTTAACAGTGGGGTCTCCAAAAGGCAACGCTAGCCATGGCATGGTAGCAAAGTACGAGTCAAACGAACTTTGATCACGATCATTTGACACGAAAACAATTTCAAAATCCTCACCACCTTTTTCTTCCAACATTTGCTTGATTCTCTGGTAAACGGATATCAGCTTGGGAGTGAACTTAACACATGGAAAGCACCGTTCCTCTGAGAAGTAAAGTCCAACTGTCTTACCTATCAAGGAATCAACTGGCACCTGCAAAGGAAATGTATACGGTTGAATCAGTACTGAACAGAGGTTCATTAATCTCAAAGCATCTCAACCACACAAGTGAGGGCTCAGTAACTCTAAGATCATGTTGGTCAATCTAGTCTAGCCCTTGCCTCAGATGACAATGCGAATCGGACCATACGGATATAAAATTGGTGGGTGAGGATACCTTGCAAAGGTAAGGGTCAAGGACAACATGATCAACAAGCGAAGTTACTGATCAGTTAGCTTACCTGAAATAATACTCTGTTAAAGTTTGAATGCTGACCACATACTTGTATCAACATATGCTTTAAATAGAATTGTTTCATTAACTATTCTATAATCCAAGTGCGTGCAAGAATGGGCTGTGACGGCTGACAGCCTTTAGCTTTGAATTCCCATTCAACGACATGAAAAGTACTACGGTTAATTGCTGCCTTGTTTGCATTCAGGGAAAGATTGTTGTCTACCATTGCTTGAAGGTTTTGCAGGACGATTTCTTCCCTTGATGTACACATGTTCATTGCATTACACGTGGCGACATCACTCGCTTCCATCAGTTCATTACATGTCGGTGCATCAACAAAATCCAGTTTCACCGTTACCTAAGGGTAGAGGAGCAAAGGTGGAATATTTTAACTGTGCCAAGGGTCCCCGTTTCGTTTTGGATAATGATACCAGGTAGCAGATTGGGGAGTTTAGGACAGAGATAGAGAAAGAAAGACATAGAAGGAAAAAACAGCAGCCAGGCTGTAAAGATATTGCCATATGGTGCAGTGACAGCTCTCTCCGATCTGGGTCATTTTTATAAGCCAATGACATTCGTAAAGATGGTGACAGACAGCATACCAATTAATAGCAACACAACATTTACACTCAAAATCTCCATTCTATTCACATCTCCTTCAAGAAGTAAATTGTTCTTAATTTGATGAATTGGTTCCGGTTGTGCAAAGTAGGCTACGTGTTAGGGAGTATGACATTTAGTTGGTTGTTTCAATCATTTCAATTGCTTGAATCTTTAGAATTTGGGTACTATCACAAAAGTTTAGATAATTAAAATTAAAAATTTAATATTTTACAACAAATGCGCACAACTATTAGTTAATCAATCCTTTCTCTCTATGATACAAACAACTTAATGTCTGCATGTCATGCTCATGTTCGGGCCCTCTGTATTTAAAACAATCGTGTTTTAGCAAAACTCGTTCAGATATTGAGAGCTTGAGACTCCCATCTTGATTAGGTTGATTAATTATGACTTTATGAGTTTGCTTGGACAGTGTTTGAGCCGTTTTAAATTCAAACAGGGCCCACATTTTTATTATTTCTATTATTATCAGAGTCCATATAATAATATTCTATTTCTGAATCCGAACATGACCCAAGTCAGAAAATCTAGCAGCATAAAACAAGTCTATGAGTGCTGGTTTTGACAACATATTCATCAACCTCAAAATCCTTTTTCTTTTTCCTTTTCTTGGGTGTACATATAATTGCAGAAACAATTAACACAGTTGCCTAATTCTTTCTTTTTCTATAAATGTGAGGTTAAGATATTGAGAGAGATTGTTATCAGTTTGGCATGTGGACCTTCCCTTACATCACATACTTTTGTTTTGATTTTTCTCCCCTCAAATATCATACTCTCAATATGCATGAATGAGGATGTTTTTCATTTTAAGTCTCTTACGAAATTTTATAAATAAATAAGCTTTTTGCTTGGACAAGAAAAAAAAAAAAAGATGAGTCAAATCTCCCCCTTAATCAAATTGTTGTTGTTGTTTTCTTTTTATTTTTTTAATAATTAATGTCCTATACCCTTGTTTTCTACAAATGGGATAAGCATACAACTAAAAAAAATTCTAATATTTCGATTGAAAATCATCAATTTGAGTGCATATAATCAGCCTATTTAATGAATTACAAAAAATTTCAATAGTTGGAACCAATTTTATTTTCCAAATTTGATTTGGAAAAGGCTTTTTTTAATGAAAAATTTTCAAAAGAATAGAGTTGATTATTGAAATTATTGTAGTGAAAATTTTCCATAAATACTCTAAATCAATAATAATTCATTTAAATTCATTCAACGACATGGATGGGTGATAATAATTCATTTTCCTCTTTAGTGGCCAAGCAACTCAAAATTAATTAAGCCCTTGGCTAAAAAAATGACAAAGCGACAAGTAAACATCAAGGACAGTAGCTTCCTATGCCTAACCGATTCAAAGTTATTTACAACTTTGAAGAATATGGCCTCCTACACTGTCAAACAATTAATTGCACACAATTATTGAATATTTATATATATATATAAAACACATATTGAAAATAAAAAAATTAAATTAAAATTTTTAATCTCTTATGCAATCATCTTAATTACATTTTGTATTTGATTATTGAAGATTGTAAGTGAAATTTTGTAAGTGCATCAATCTTATTTAAATGCGAAAAGAATGTTTTAAATTTTGTAATGATTAGCATAGAATATTATATATTATTCAAATGGTAACTTTAACGATTGCCTATAAAATACTCATTTTCATTTTACTTTTTAAGACATAACCCAAAAAGATTAATACTAAATAGTATGCACCAAAAATTGCAAACTACTTTCTTACTAATCTTATTGCAGGTTAGGTAATCTGTAACCATGGGATAAGGCAGAGTCGTGGTCAGGTGGCAATTAAATTTTGCCTAATAAATTTAGAAATAGATGATTTACGTTAACTCATTTAATTGGTACACTCAAAACTTCAACGACTGTGGGCATCTAAAAGGAGACAGCTAGTTTTAGCAGTCGGCGAGCTGCCCTGCCACTGCCATTGCCATTTGCAATACTCGATGCATCACCAACCTGCCACCAGTCACTCTTCATGCACAAAACGTTGGATAGGGACCCATTTGGGAAATTTTCGACAACCTTAAGGACTGTTCTGCACTTTCAATATATTCTTTCTAAATATGAAATCAGTGAAGCTATTTGTTCCCTTTTGTGGCATTACCAGATTTATGCAGGGGCTGGCTTCCTCGGAGTTTTAAAAATGCTTCGCACGTCTCCTGATACTTTATTGCCATTTGCCAAGTACTCAGATCAAATGATCGATTAACCAACTGGTCATCAAAGCATGCCAAAAAAGTAGAAGCAGTAGTAGTAGTTGCTGCTTACATGCATCATATGGCACCATGCCATTTCATGTATACTTATTAATATTTCTATCAATATTTTCTTGCTTTACCCATGAATCCTCATCTTCCTTTTTCGACTTCCACACCAAAAAAAAAAAAAAGCAAGCTCTTGAATTATGGAAGACTTTTACACAACCAGAAAAATCCCATGTCATCTACATTAATATCAATGAAAATTAATACAACTAACAAAATATCACTAAAAAGAGAAAAGAAAACCCATACAGGCATGCAAGTGAAATAACTTAGAGGAGCATCTTTCTTATTTTCCGAGGAAAACAAACACTGAACTTTTATGCTCTTAAAAACAAGACCTTTGTTTTTTTTTTTTTTTTTTCAAGGAAAGTTAAGGCTTAGCAGGGATTATCAACAGAAGGATCGAACAACTTAGGCTCAAGCTTGGTTCTACAAACAGGACAAACCGAATGCTTCGAAAGCCAAGTATCAGCGCATTGCAAATGAAACCCGTGATTACAACCGTGAACAATTCTAGCCGGTTGCTCAGACTCAATCTCATCGAGACAAACCGCACACTCGGTCCCCAGCACAAGCTCCTTCCCGGTAACCTTTGGCAGCTTCTCAAGCTCTGAAACAGACAACCCTTGCTGAGCCACTTGTTTAACGGCTAACGACCCTGAATTATCGGTCCGATAATTCGCGACGCACCAAAAAAGACAGATATAAACAACAAAAACCATACTTATGCCAGCGCATGGCAGTAAAAGGGCTAAGAAAACAGAAACGAGCGTTGAATGCTGGTGCTTCCGGAGGCGACGGTGGAGTTTAGGGCGGGTGATGCAGAAGGAGAAAGGAGAGATTGAGGGGTGTAGTGCGCTCCATGGTGCATAACAGTCAGCTATTACTGGAAAGGGTTTAGGGGGACGGCTTTGAGTGAGAGATTGGGGTGACAAAGGCTATATTGGGAGAGAAAAATGGTATTGTTAGCTATGACCTAGCACTGACGAATTTACAGTTGGCTTGTATTTCTATTTTCCTTGTATTTTTCTGCTCTGTTAAGCACAAAACTTTTTTTTTTTTTTGGGTTTGGTGCGTGGGAAAACTATGGCCTGGTGGTGAGAAATGTGATGCAACTGATCAGGGCTGGCTGTGGCTGGGGGTGACTCTGGCCTCTGAGGTGGCTGGTGACTGGAATTGTAACCGAAATTTGGCTTAGAAAGAAGAGAGAAAAATGATTTGATTGGTAGGGAGATTCGGTTTGGCCCATTGGTTTATATAAACTGCTAATGTAAAATTTTGCTTTTGATTGTGGTGTGCGGGACCCTTGATTTAATAATGGGATTCTGTCATCTAACTTGTTATGTTAAAAATTTAAAATGGATTATCAGCTAAAAAGTAATCGGAAAGGATCAACTTGAGTATAGGCTGTATCCAATGATTTTGCATAAAGCATTTTTAAAAAGATTATCGATCAAAATTTATCATTTGTATTTATTTGTAATATTTTTTGTTATTTGAAGAAAATTTTAAAGTTAAAAATAACTGCATTCTTATTTTTATATTTTTATTAATTTTATTTGCTTCTGAGATTATTTGAATTTTTTTTTTCGACATTTATTTGAGAGAATAAGTTTTATGTGTAAGATTTAAGAAAAACTTACTCATATAATTTATTACACGAAGGAGTTGTTGTCTTAGATTTTTGAAAAGATTTTCATCAAAAAATTTTGTAAATATTTTAACAATGTGAACTTGATTTATGTACTGTTTATTTTTTAAATACATGTCTAAAAAATTAATTTATGAGATATTCAATGATTATTTTTTTCTTATATAATATTATCTCATACTTTTAAATAATTTATTAAAATTTATTCAATAACTATATATGAAATGTGATATATAAAAAAATAGTAGAATATTATCAATATATATCAGTACATTATTAAAATAGAAGCAAATATCTTCGTATTAGGAGGTCTCCAATGTGTTTTTTTTATAAAAAAAATTGAAACCTGAAAAAAATATAATTATTAAATTATTAAACATTATTTTTTAAAAATAACTATATTTTCGTTAATCATTTATTTAAACTCAAACCTTATAATATGGTTACGTTCTTTCGTGCTCAAGTGGGCCTAGACCAGCTTCTCGGCCTGATGACTTATGTGTAATCAATGAAGTTAAGATGTGCAAAAGACTTCCTTGGGACACCCATAGCCCACAGGTCCCAGAGACTTGGCTCTGAAGTGGGAGAAAAAGATCTCTGCTGCAATTAGAAAAATAAATGATATATTAGGATTTATAAATTATTTAGATTTAATTTAAATAAAAATTAAATTCGATTAGATTATTATTAAGTCAAATTCGAATTTGAGTAATTTGATTCATTGATCGAATTGAGTTCGAATTTTTTATACTTGACTTGAATAATTAATAAGCCTAATCGAGTTTTTATATTTAAATATATTTTTATTATTTTAATTAATAAAATATCTTGAACTTGTATTCGAGCTTGAGCATAAATAATCAAATTTTTATCAAATATAAGAATCGAATTTATTTTTATATGTTAATCGAGTGAGTTCGAGTAATTCAATTTTTATAATGTGTCGAACTCGAATTAAAAAAATAAAACTTGATCGAGTTCGAATCGAATTTCGAATCTCAAATTTCAAATCGAATTTGAGTTTGAATTTAATATTGTATCAATTCGAATTCGATTTATTATACCATTAACTATAATAAATCAATCATTTTTATACAAGTGTCGAATTATGAGCATCACCGTTTCATATATGAAATTAAGATAAACACATAGTTTTACAACTACAAAAGAACGAGGAGCATCAAAATGTTGATCTAACTATACATCTTCCTTAAAAAAAAAAACCTTTATACCAATATCATCATAGCATTTTGTTGCTTCAATTTTCCCTCAATTCAGCAAACAGGTGAATATGTGATACATGTTATATTACAAGTATCATAAGTACAAAGTAGATGCACCCACTAGCGCGTACATCTGTTTTAAAGGATAACCTTTTTGAGAGTAACAATTCCAATCATTATAGCAAATATGAATAAGTTGGAACCATAAACCCAGATTTTAGTATGCAAGCATGAGCCTGGCGGGTTTCTGATAAAGATGCTATGGCTGAATTCAGGCAAGCAAGAATTGAAAGGTGCAGATTTTTTAAAATGGCAGAGCTTGCCTTGTCATGGCTCGTTACCGCCAAAAACTTAAATCAGAATAGGGGTGTTTAAAATTTAATTTTAATCTAATTAATTTATTGAATCAATTTAATTTAATTTAATTAATTGATCGATTATCAATTTTAATCAATCATTAAACATAATTAAAAAAATTTTCATCTGTAATTAATTCAATTCAAAAATTAAATTCACTAAAATTTTAATTAAAATATAATAAATTTTATGAAATTATTTATTTTATTTTAAGTTATTAAAAATTTTAATTTAATATTTTGATCTTTGAATATTTTTGTTAAATGATTAATTTAATTTATTTTAAATATAAAAAATTAAAAATATAATTTAACTTAATATATTTTATTATTTGATTAATAAAAAATTAATTGAATTAATTTTGATTGATTAATTTTTAAAATAAAAAATTGATTCAATTAATAAAAATAAATTAATTTAATTTTAAATAATTTGATTTAAAATTTGAACGTCATAACGTTTAACAGGATATCGGAGCAAGGGAATCTTCAGTGTCAGCGACCGTTCATTTTGCCACGTCAATGTTAGTAGACGTGGAGAGAAGGGGCAAGCTAATCCCAAAGGTACAAGCGAGTGAAGCGCATTTTAAGTCAAGCCAACTTTTGTCGCTGCGTTGAAGAGGATATCCTTAGAAATCTGCTAAAGCGAGGCCAATCGAAAAAAGATCAGAGAGAAAAAATGAGGACAGGAAAAGAAACAACTTTTTTATCTCTACCATCACTTCTGTTCTGCTTGTTTATCTTTGTTAACGTTTGTCAACGGACGGTGAAAGCTCAGTCTTTGCCGCCGGCGAAGTATGATGGGTTTGTGTATACAGACTACCAAGTTGACTCGGACACGATTATGATCGAGGCGTTCTTCGACCCAGTCTGCCCCGATAGCAGAGACTCATGGCCTCCTCTCAAGCAAGCTATTCAATACTACGGTTCTCGCGTTTTTCTCATAGTTCACCTGCTCCCATTGCCGTTAGTCTTTCTCTCTCTTTCTAATATATTTATTTATTTTTTCTCCCAGAAATTTAGTAAAGAATAAAATTTGAATTTGAGATTGGAAACAGAATCGGGTCAAGCTACCTGATGGATGATTATTCCGGGTTTAATCTATTGTTCTTTAGTTTAGTTACGTTGGTTTTGAATTTATTTACCAAGAAAAAAATGGATGAACTTTGTTTGTCATTTTACACTACCATGTTATGATAATGTTTGTTGTCTGGACTCTGGAAGCTGCGATTGGAGCATGAGATCAATTTATACTAGACTTTGAGTGGAAAAAGCTACTGGGTTTTTTTTTTCCCCAATATATGACCATTTTGTGCTTGAACATCTAGCTGAATTCTTTAGTAGACAACTAGGATGAACACTTCTGGATTTTGCCTGAACACTTGACTTTGAACATCCTGGCTTGTTGTTTGAATTGTTATTCTAGAAAAGTGCTCTGGCTTTAACATATGGGTTTTGAATTTAACATCCCTCATGGAAAACTGCTTACTTCTTCTGTTGTTTTCAATGTAGTGTAAAACCTGCTAAACAGTCATTTCTTTATGACAACCTTGATCTGGATTTGATTTGATGATTTTTTTTTTTTTGTTTGGCTCTTAAACCATTTGACTTTTGAGAGGTTTGATATTGGAAATTGCAGCTACCATGACTATGCATTCGCTACTTCCCGTGCCTTGCACATTGTAAACCTGCTTGATCCATCTGCTACTTTTCGATTGTTGGACTCCTTCTTTCAGCATCAGGTTCAGATGTTCCATTTTCCAGTTTTAAATAATCTCTTTTTAACAGTACTGCATTTACTTTAGTAAAGAAATGGATAATAAAGTAATTTTAAGAATATGTATTACACTACTTCTATTTTATCCCCATTGCTGCTTGTGTGGTTGACTGTATGTTCACCCCGTTTTCATCTTGATTTTAATTTTTAAATATGTTTCTTAATATTTGGTCTTCATGACAAACTGAACTTGTTGGGTACTATTATTTAACAGGAGAGATTTTACAATGCTCAAACAAGCAACATGTCGAGAGTTGATGTTGTCAATGAAATCATAAAGTTTACAGCAGAAACAGTTGGGAACTCCTATTATTCCGCAATTATATCAGGTTTCAATGACAGAATGACTGATCTTAAAACAAGAGTTTCTTTCAAGGTAAATCCTTCCCCCACACCCCAGACCCTCTCTGAGAAAAAAAAAGTTCTTTTTTATTTTTTTATTTTTTATGTTCCTGTTTCATATAGTTGCAAAATTACTGGTGGTAAAGCAATCAAATGCACAGTATGACAGTACATAATTATTTTTCTGTCCAAAGAATCATTTTAGGTAGCGTCAGCTGAGATCAATATCTTATTTCCATGGACTAATGTACATGCATTTTCATCATTATTCTACTCTATCTCTGCTAAGCTTTTTACATGCCATTAACATTGTAATATCTACTGACATGCAGTATAGTGCTTCAAGAGGGGTATTTGGAACACCTTCTTTCTACATCAATGGATTTGCGTTGCCTGATTCTGGCTCCACAATAGATTACAAGGCATGGAGAAGCTTCATTGATCCATTGCTTGTCGCACAGGGCGTAAAGAGAGAGAATTCTCCACCATTAGTTTTATGAAGGATTTAACTTTTCAGGACATACTCTTCAAATGGTATTTGGTTGATATATGACATTGAATGCAGTACATAAACACTGCATCAGCAACGTTGGATGCTCTAGCTGTAATGGCTGCCAAAGAAATGGATACTGGATAATGTAAAAAGACCAAGTTTGTACTAGTAAAAATCCTTGAACCCTCCCATCCCGTTCAAATTGCTTACCAAATGCCATATTTTACATGTTAAGAACCATTTAATAACCTAACTTGAGTGAATCATATGAGATTCATGATTTAAGAGATTAAAGCTCCCTTTGGCACCTTGGTGGGTGTTTCTTCCGTCGAGTATCAAATAATTTCTCATTATTGTATCATCAACTTTGGCTCATTTAATTCTTATTATCGTCATTATAATTTATAAACTACATCTAAAAAAAAATTCTTGACTTGAAGGGATAGAAAAGAGTCTAAAGCCTTTATCCGAGTAGCATTTTTCTTCTTCCTTTTCCCGGTTCCCGATGGACCTTGACCTCCTAATTATCTCTTTTGCGACCGCTCGATAGGGCTTTTTGGCAAAGGTGACTCAGGATGTGGAGATGAAAGACCACCAAACTCCTTCTCTTTCCATTTCCTCTGCTTCTCCCTCCACTTTGCAGCGTACCCATCTTTTCCAATTTCTAGGGTTTATGTTCTTTTTTTTTTTTTACTTTATTATTATTTTTTAAAATTGTGTTTACTTTGTAATTTTGTGTTTGTAGACTTGAAGGAGATTGCTTCGCTTATTGACTCTGGTTCCTACACTAAGGAGGTTCGCTGTATAGTCCGCGCCGTTCGCCTCACATTCGGGCTGAGGTGGAAGCTCACAGCGCCTCTGCTCTCTGCATTTCTCGATTTTGCCCGGCAGCCTGGTTCTGAGGCTCATGCCCGATTGTCCTCATTTCTTCCTAAGGTACAGTCCTCAGCTTTTTCACTCTTTTCTTCTCTGTGGCTGAATAAAGCTTTTGCCTGGCTTTTGATGGATAATTCAAGATCACATTTTACTTAATTTGGTGGTTTAGTTAACTTAATGAGTTCATTGCAATGCTATTTTATTAAAGTTATTGAAATACTTATGCTAGTGAATTCTTTAGCTATTGTACGATGAGCTTTTAGACTAAATGGTTTTTTGCTGTTTTGTGTTATTGATATTACATTATTATGTAGAAATAGAGAAAGTAACATTTTCTCAAATAAATGAACTAGGATTTGTATAACTTTGATGGATGTTGAGCAATGATTCTATGGGGCGTCTTTTGGGTGGTTTGGCCTTTCAGATGACAATATCTATAATGTAGACCTAGGATTTCTGTGTATTTGATGTCTCTATGTCTAGTTTGAAGGTTTGATTTTAGAATTAGGCAGCAGCATGTTTTCATTAAAGTAATGATCTTGAATGTTATATTGTGGCATGTTCGCATGGAAATTTTTGTTTCTTTAATTTCGACTTGGAAACTTTTGTTCCTAGTACTGCCTCTGAATTAAATATGATTGTAGGAAGATGAGCATGACATGAAAGTTGATACTGCAACATCTGCAGTTCAGATTCCAGCAAAACACTTGTTCCCTGAGCTCAAGATTTATTGCTATTTGCTTGTTCTCCTTTTTCTTATTGACCAGAAAAAATACAATAAGGTCAGACTCGTTTTCACAAATTTGTATTATCTTTTTCCTTTATGGGCCAAATCCACTTCTTAAACTGCAGAGATTCTTGCTTTGTTTTCTTTCAGGCTAAAGCCTGTTCCTTAGCAAGTATTAATTGGCTCAAGAGCCTAAACAGAAGAACTCTTGATGTCCTAGCATCAAGACTTTTCTTCTATTACTTGTATAGCTATGAGCTTACTGGTGATCTTGTCGAAATTTGTGGGTAAGATATTAATAGACAGGTGTCTCCTCTGTGGTTCCTTCTCTACTTGTGTGCTTACATGTGTAAATATATAAATCTTCCATGTTAACATGCAACTTCAGAAGAGCAGAGGAAGCTGAATAAGAGTCTAATCATTATTTAATTCTTTTTGTACTTTTCCTCGCAGCATTCTCCTTGCCTTGCATCATACTGCCTCACTACACCATGATGAGCTTGGTTAGGTTTGTTATTAACCAATTTAGAGGCTGTTTATGGGAAGAAATATTGCAGCTAATGCATAATTTACTGGCATACTACAGGAAACACTTCTAAACTTCTTGTTGCGTAATTACCTCCATTATAACCTCTATGGTCAGGCAGAGAAGTTGAGGTCTAAGGCACCCCAATTTGAAGCACACTCAAACCAGCAGGTAGATCTCGAATTGCTCCATTGCTTGTTTAACTGATCCATCAGGGTAGATCTTGTACTAGTCATCTCCTTTATCATCTTTCCCTTTTTTATCTGTTATTAATCTACTGCTTGAAAGTCAACACAGTTTACCTTGGGTTTAGTCTTTATTTGGATGTTTGAGTTACTACTGTATGCATCTTGTTTTAAGTGTTTTAAACTTTCACATATTGTGGTTTATATTGTTAGTTATGACCCAATCTTCGGTATTTGTTCACCACAGTTCATTTAAGGTCCTAAAATGGGCACAGCTGACTATTCAAGGTATGTCCGATGAATAAATCTTTTGTTCTGCAGTTTTGTTGATATCTCTCTACCTAGGGAAGATTAGGACAATTCAGTTAGAGTATACAGATGCAAAAGAGAGTCAAAGCCCCCCTTGCAGCTTAAGGCTTCAGAATTCAGTGTAACAAGTGGGCTATATTAGTTCGTCTGCTGTTGGGGGAAATACCTGAGAAGACAATCTTTATGCAGAAAGGAATGGAGAAGACTTTGACGCCATACTTTGAGCTGACAAATGTAAGTCTGGTTTGTTCATGATGAATATTTGTTTAAGAAGAACCAAACTTGTGTAACAAATTATTTTGACTTTTTCATCTTGATTACACCTGCTGAAATGGATATTGGTGCTGCTGCCTGTCTTAGATCTCATTTGAAAGAAAAATACAATTTCTTGGCTCAACTTTCCAGGTTGTACGGATTGGTGACTTGGAGCTCTTTAGGACTGTTGCAGAGAAGTTTGCTAGCACCGTCGGTACTGACAAGACGCACAATCTGATAGAATGCCTGCGGCATAATGTCATCAGAACTGGATTACGCAACATCAGTGCCTCTTATTCACGCATTTCACTTGCTGACGTAGCTGAAAAATTGAGGTTGAACTCTGAAACTCCAGTTGCAGATGCTGAAAGCATTGTCGCGAAGGCTATCGGAGATGGTGCAATAGATGCTACATTGGATCATGCCTTAACATGCACAATGAAGCACAGTTCGGGCCTTGCATTTTCCACCAAACACACATAAGGAGAAGGAAAGTGCGGAAAAAAGGAGAGAGAGGCAACAGCAAGAACAGGAACTCGCAAAGCATATTGCTGAGGGATGATGATGATTTTTAAGGATTTTGCCTTTTTGATTTTGAACTGCAACATGTTTCTCAACCTTCTTTTACGTTTCTCTTTTGGAAGGCTTGTTAATACTTTCCAATTTTATGACCATTTTTACTTTTTTTATGAATTCACTCGTTTTGTATTGGTAATAAAAAATTCTAATGTTATTAATAAAAGAAAGGATTCTCATCATTGAAAAGCTAGAAGATACTTAAAACTTGTGTTGAAATCAAAATATAAAAAGCGTAATATTTTTGAAATATTAAAAATAAAATATTTAATTTCAATAGATGATTAAATCAAGATATTATATGAATATACTCTCCAACCAAAGACTAAATGAAAATAATTTAATCATTTCTTCATTTCCAATCAAATAATGTTAGATAGACAGTATACCAAGATGTACCAAATGGTACTTCACCTCAACGTTCACAAAGCACGGTTTTGCCGCTGCCATGTGCTTGGTAATAAATGCAGTCATCGGGGCCCGTTGCAAACCACCTTCGAATGCGGAGATAAGCTCTGTATAATGTACATATATATATATATATATTTGATATGTACAAGCAACTTTTGCATGCGGAGATAGAGTAGAACAATAGAATATTTGGCTTCAAACTCGAATTAATTTTGGATAAATGAAGTCTCACCAGATTTATCAGTCTAGGCCTCTAGCCACTTTGCTTCACGGTGCCATGCTATCATCACATGACAAGTTTAATTAATACTAGAACTAAAAATAGATAAATAGATAGATAGATGCTCATTCAGGTTTCTGTTTGCGGTTGAAAATACCTCTTATGAAATGTTTTCCCTAATGCTTAACCTTTGACGATTCTAGGTGTTTCATTTTAACATCCTGTATGCTGTGTCAGGAGAGATGAAGACACTTAAACAGGTTAAAACTTGACCATCTAATGTCAAAACGAATCATGTGCAAAGACTTGAAAGAAAAAGAATAAACAATGCGATTTGTTTCGTAAGGGTCAAAGGAATGCCCATGTGAACTTGTATATATGCTGTGATCTAATGGAAATATTGTATCACACAAAACCACTGGAGGTGTCGTTTTATCTACAAAATGGCTACAACTGTCAGATAAAAGAAATCTATAAAACAACAATTGGGCTTATGGTTTTTCATCAATTCACGGCTCTTCTGTTGGAGAGAGCATGTGGGTTTGGAAGAGGCAAGTAAGAGAGAACATGGGAACAACTGAATGAGGCTCAATTTTAAATACCTAAAATGAATCGGTTTTGATTTCTTCTCTACTTACAGGGATCACATGTGAGCTTGTTGTATAGGAGAGTTTGGTCCTTTATTTAAAGACCCAATTCTTTTGCTTCGAAATGCCAATAAATGTAAATACATTCAATCCCAGTAGTACTCCTCATCGGTCCTAATCTTCCTCTTTGTTCTCCCCAGCAGCATTTGTTGTCTTCTAACCTACCAAGAAATGGCAAAAATCATTTTTGCATTATCAATCTTGCTTGGATTCTGCTATCTTACTACTAGCGTGAATTCCTACACGGCTTCTGGCTGGAGTAAAGCTCATGCCACATTTTATGGAGGCAGCGATGCCTCAGGAACTATGGGTTAGTAACCGTTTCCATTCCACTACTCCCTTTTCTTTCTTTTGGATAAATGAAGTTTTATAATTATTCATCCAAAGAAGCTGGCTTGCCTGCTAGCAGGAAACGAATGCATTTCTTTTTCAATTTTCATTGTCGTTTAATATTGAATGATTTATTGACAAAAGGGGGAGCTTGTGGATATGGGAACTTGAATGCAACTGGCTATGGAACAAGGACTGCTGCTTTAAGTACTGCCTTGTTCAATGATGGAGCTTCATGTGGACAATGCTACAAGATCATATGTGATTATAAATCAGACCCCAAATGGTGCATAAAAGGAACATCTGTGACCATTACTGCTACAAACTTTTGCCCTCCTAACTATGCTCTCCCAAACAATAACGGAGGTTGGTGTAACCCTCCTCTCCAGCACTTTGATATGGCTCAGCCTGCCTGGGAAAAGATTGGCATCTACAGTGGTGGAATTGTGCCTGTTTTGTTCCAGAGGTAGAATCTCTATAACATTTATTTCTTCCCTCATTTTTGCTCTTAAAAATCTTATATTATATCTAATGTTTTGGGTTCTTACAATACAGGGTTCCATGCAAGAAGCATGGTGGAGTAAGGTTCACTATCAACGGAAGGGACTATTTTGAGCTTGTTTTGATTAGCAATGTGGGTGGGGCAGGATCCATCCAATCTGTGAAAATCAAGGGCTCTAAAACTGGGTGGATGGCAATGTCAAGGAACTGGGGAGCTAACTGGCAATCCAATACCTATCTCAATGGCCAATCATTGTCGTTCCAAGTCACCACTACTGATGGAGTGACTCTACAATTTCCTGACATTGTGCCATCAAATTGGACGTTTGGCCTGACTTTTTCTAGCAAACAACAATTCTAAGTTACTAAAAGCTTTAGAGTTCAGGATTTTGGGTTTAGTTTCCGGCAGAGGCGTGCTTATTATTTTAGTAAAGCTGCCCGCTATATATTTCTTGGGATTTTATAGTTTAAGATGGTTAAAATCACATGGCTACTTCTTTTTTCTGGATGGTGGTTCCGATGGAAGTGAATCCTTGAACTCAAGGCTGCTACATTACATTTTTTGTATACATGAAATTGGTACCTTGTTTGAAATTGTCAATAAGAAGCGCAAGAAAACATTGCAGCTTCAGTAAAATATAAATTTTTTCACAAATTTAAATGTTTGTAATTGGAGTTATTTATAATTCTACCATTTCTCACAAATGTAATAAATCAACCGACAAACCTTCGGTTAATTACCGATCAATTGTTAAATTAAGTTCTGTCCCATAGATGAAAGCTTTGTTGTTTGGATGCAGACTATAGAAGAAGAGGCTATTAACTCACCGCCTTTAGCAGTTTTGCCGAAAGATTTTTTTTTTAAGGAAAAAAAAGACAATATCAGTTTCTCTGAACTTGAAGAGACATACAGCTTTGGCTTTATTAGCCTGCCATGAATTTTACAAATAAATTATTTTGATCCATTTAATCTTTTTCCAAGTTGATCAAAGTATATGCAACTGTGATTCCCAAAGCACTGGTAAGTGTTAATCGCATCTATATTTTAATGCTATCCGAGTAAACAGCTCTCACGGTTTAGATTTCAGATGAGTATTCATTAGTCCCAAACACAAAAACAAAGAAATATTCAACAAAGAACATAAGCCAGGTTGGAACATTGCTGACATTAAAACAGAGGTGATAGGGAAAAGACAGCCTGCAAATTCCAATGCTGCCATTTTACAGGTTGATCCTGATTCCTGAAGCCTGATCAGTCCCAACTCTTTCTCATTTTCCTTTCATGGGTTCGATAGAGTCTCAAACTCCGAATTAATTCATTTTCAGATATCAATATTTTAGGGCGTTCTCAATAAATACAAGGAAAGGGCCCATTGAACTGAATTATAAGTAAATAAGTTGAGAGTCGCTTAAGGGGTTATAATCTGGACAGTTCTGTTATTTGCTAGGCTGTTGACAATGACTCTTGAACAGTTGTTGAAGCCGTAGAATCTTGAGTCTTGACCAAGCTTGCGTTAAAACAAGGATTTCATTATTTGTTCAAACCCAATCCGCGAAACCTTTCCCTTTTTTAAGCTCTGAAGGTTCAACACGCTCATGTAACGAAATGCTTTGCTTAAGTCCTAAGGAGGCCTCAGCAAAGAAACTATTGGTGCCGGTAGCTCTTCTACCCCCCTATCTTTTGGCAATGCTTAGCTCGTTTACTTTGGAATGAGTTCTGTTATGTGCTTTTTTTTTTTTTAATTCTTTTTTTAGATTTTATAACTCTGCCAGTGATGGCTAATGCTTCTTCCCTGGTTTAACTTTTTGGGGGAATGATTACGTTGATGCTCTGCTTAAATTATATGAGAAATGATTTCATCACTAAAGAGATTGGAGGTCAAATATGCAACACCATTAAAATTGTAACTTTGATATATTTTATTAAGGCCAATCACAATCAAATTTGATATGGCTTGTCAGCATGCTTCATTACTACTCCACTAAACAAGGGTTCTTGATCACCAAATATGCAAACAACCATTATCGGTAGTAACAACTCCAATTTAAAGTCTCTTTTGCCTTGTTATAAATAACACATTCCCTCCATATCAAACTTGCATAACTGGTTACTTGATCTGCAAAGTAGTTTTGATTCCAATTGTTTCAACAATGACAGCCGTAGTTGCACTTGCTTTCGCCTTTCTCATGTTTCCAATTTCATCTCCTGTCAGAGTACTGACCTCAAACTACTATGACCACACGTGCCCTCAGCTCGAGTCCATTGTTACGAGTGAAGTCAAGAAAGCGATGTTGAACGACAAAACTGTTCCAGCTGCGCTACTACGAATGCACTTTCATGATTGCTTTATCAGAGTATAAATGTTATACTTGCATTTGTTAACAAACTTAAAAGTTTGTTCAGATATAATTTACTTTATGTTTTAATTTTAAGGGCTGCGATGCTTCTTTGTTGCTGAACTCAGAAGGAAATAACAAGGCAGAGAAAGATGGACCTCCTAACATTTCATTGCATGCATTTTATGTCATTGACCATGCAAAGAAGGCATTGGAATCTTCATGTCCCGGCGTTGTTTCTTGTGCGGATATCATGGCCCTGGCTGCCAGGGATGCAGTTGCTCTGGTTAGTAATTTTAATAGTATTTGACTTACCTTGGTTATTCTTGCAAAGTTGTAGTAGCTGACCACCCGTTCCACCTATGTAATCGATTCCTAAATACTAATCCAAGTGTTTTGTTTCCACTTGGTTGCTGTCGTCTGTTATATTTTAGTCTGGCGGTCCCACTTGGGAGGTGCCCAAAGGAAGAAAGGACGGAAGAATTTCCTTGGCAACCGAGACCAGACAATTACCAGCTCCCACCTTTAATATATCCCAGCTACAACAAAACTTTGCCGGAGAGGTCTCTCCATTGAAGATCTAGTTGCTCTCTCAGGTATATCTCTTTATCAACATCTTCCAAGTCCCGCAAAATTGCTTCACCTCAACCAAGCAAAGCACAAAAGGGATATTGCTCAATTTTTTATCGTACAAATTTTGTTTTCCTCGGGATTCCCATGTTGGATTAACTCGATTGGTCCTCAGTAGCTAGAGTTATTATGTAAGGATTTCCTGGAGGCTAGCTGGAAGTCATCCATGCATGTCAAAGATTCCAACTTTATTAATGTTGCGATACCGACCGTCTTATACATGTAGGTGGTCACACTCTGGGGTTCTCCCACTGCTCTTCTTTTCAGAACAGAATTCACAATTTTAATGCAACCCTTGCCGTCGATCCAACCTTGAATCCCTCCTTTGCCTCCAGGTTAAGGAGCGTGTGCCCGGCACACAATAAGGTGAAAAATGCAGGTTCACCTCTGGATTTTTCGAACTTAATATTCGATAACGCATACTACAAATTGCTTCTTCAGGGGAAGAGTATCTTCTCTTCAGATCAAGCTTTACTCACCACCCCAAAAACCAAAGCATTGGTTTCTAAATTTGCAAGCTCCCAACAGGCTTTCGAGGAGGCCTTTGTCAACTCCATGATCAAGATGAGTAGCCTCACCGGTGGGCAAGAGATCAGGCAAGACTGCAAAGTAGTCAGGTGATTTTAAAGCCAATTTGGAGTATCCAAAGTTTACATTAAAGCCAGGCATCAAGAAAGTTATCTAGTCAATTTCCATTTTTTAAGAGTTATCAAAACAATAAAAGTGAGAGACGCATGCATCCGTGTGTGACTTGCCTGCCGTCGAAGAGAACGGGTAGGAATGTGTCTTTGTACTTGAAAATTATGTATGATTTATGATTAAAAAAAAATTATGGCTTTGATTTCATTGTGAATATCCATAACAACTAATGCTCAAACGCCATCTCTCAATTTTTTATAAGAAGCTGAAATTTGGTTCCTCAGAGGGAAAAAAAGGGCAAATTTTACGATTAAAAAAATTTTTCTACAGAATACGAAAAATGGAATTTTCATTTGATTATTATATGCAAATTGGACGTTGGGCTCATTACTCGGGCCAATCCAATATTTATAAAGTCCAACACAGAATTGAAAAAATGAACCTCGAATTTGGATTTTGGGCTGTTTGGGCGCACCAAGAATTCCCATCTTCTGGACACCACAAAAGGATCAGTTGCGGAACTGGAACAAACAAGCGTTCAAAGTTCAGAAAAAGAAAAACCCTTGTCTTCTCCCCCATTAGATTCAGTTAAGAAATAAATGTCGGATGACATGGTCGACCAAACACACAAACTGGAAGAAACAACTGTACCAGACAAATTGCTGAAACAAAACAAACAAGAAGAAGAAAAAGCAGAACATGAAGAGCAAGGGTTACATAAGCTTTTGGTCCCTGACATACGCCAACTTCCTCTCTCTCCTCCCTCTGCTGTTGAATCCAACTTTGTCTCTTACTTTGCTCCAGGTCTCTGCCCTTTTTCAAAATTAACATTAATCCTATGATTTTGTTCTTTAATTTGTTTTTTGAACACTATAAAACGTTTGATTTTACAGATTTTGTGAAGCCGGGAAACGACCAGTATGTTTATCGCCATGCCAACGGGTAAGAGTTGCAAACTTCTGTTTTTGGGGTTTAAAAAAAAAAGGGAAAGATTGGATTTAATAACGGAAATAATATAAATTTGTAGATTGTGTGTTGTTGGCTTGGCTCAGACTCACGCAGCGTTTAAGGATAAAGGTGGGATCACCGCCGTTGATTTTAATGTCGGCAAATCGGATCGCAGTGGCATGAAAGTCTCCGGAAAGAGAAAGAAGGTGTCTCCCTCTGCTCTCTTTTTATTTTTGTAATTGATTAGAAAAGCATTTGATTTTTATTTTATAATTGAAAATCCACTTGGGGTTTTAAAGGGTTTTATACATGTGATATTAATTGTAAGTTTTTGTTTTTTAATTGTGGAAACAAATTAGAATGCATTATCAGTTGTTATTAGGATATCAAAGAGGTTAGTTTCCTTCATTGAATCGGAACATTTAGCTCTGACAAAGTCTTATTTAAGTTAGATGTGTTTTCCTGACAGAACGCTCAACACTTCGAGTCCAATACAGCTTTGTGCAAGGTTTGCACCAGTGATGATCAATATATCGTGAGGTGGTTATGATTATTTCAGCATTTTTTTTTGTGAAGCCTCTCTCCCTCCCCCCCCCCCCATCTTTTTTTTTTTCTTATTGATGTGAATAGCAGTTTCGGACAGGTGTTGTGTTAAAGGATCTCTTTTGGAAGTGAATGGCAGATTAATCAAACAGCCAGAGCTGCTTAAATCATCGGTGAGAATAACTCATCTACCCTTCTTTACCGGTTTCAATTTTTATATGTTCACGACATGGAATTCTATGATTGAATCCTTGTGATAGTGTCACATTTTTGTCATCTCGATCACTCCATTTACTTCCCACCAATTATAAAGGCATAGGAAAAAGGATGATTAGTATGACTTGTTATAATGTAGCCAATGGCTGCTTGGTTTGGTGAATTGCAGACTTTGCAATTTGTAGGAAAGAAACAAATGACTATAAGCAATATCATTCCGAGCAAGTTTATTAGAACTAGTATTGGTGTGTTAATAAAGAAATGCCCAAATTTATTCATGCTGCATATGGATTCCTAGTGGGTTCTTCAAGATTCTTTGAAAATCATTGGGAGAAAGAGAATAAGAACATATAACCTACAATCATATATGTATCGTACATGTATCAGTCTTTCAACTGTAGGTTCTGCCTTTGATGGAAGAGAGGTGCCAAATTTTGATTATGAAGATCTTGCTAATATAAAATCAATCAATAACTAAGTGAAGAAGAATTTCATCAGTTAGACTACTGATAATCTAAAGGCTTGTGAGTTCAAGTCCTAGGTCAATCTTAGTCCTTGTGTCAAATAAAAGGATATGAAAAACTCATGGTTTCTACTACTGGGTGCAAAATTACAACTAGCCTAAAATTTTTTGGCTAGAATCTATTATATCTGGTATCCCTTCCCCCTTGACTCTTAACAAGTCTAATTGATTTACACAGTTAGGTTATGGTATCAACTTATTAATTGTACTACTAACTCATGTTACTTTTTTATTCTACCATAGTATTTATAGCTTCTATAATATATCTTTGTTTTGCAGGCAGATAGAGAAGGATACGTTGCAATTATTATGCCAAAGCCATCAGACTGGCTCAAAGTCAAGGCGTCCTTGTTGACCCTTGAAGAATTCAAGAAATTGAGAGCACTTTGCTGAATTTTCAGTTGGAATGGATTTGTTAACTGAGCTTGCAGAAAACAGGAATCAAGAGAAGCCAGCTCCCTCACTCAATTCATCCAAAAGGAACTCCTTCGCCTGTTTGTTTGATGGGTTTTGCCGGGTTAAGTTCATCAAGGTAACAAGCGCATACTTTTATTGGGGAGAGCTGAACTGTGTACCACTGCTCCAATTTTATATTTCTTCATCTAAATAATTTAAAGACAATTAAAACTGTATTTAGTTTGTGTGAACTCATATAAATAATGAACTGAATATAGTTTAATTCAAACATCTAACAAATGCGGGTGAATTTGAAGGAATGACTAATATCTTGAAATGCGAGTGAATAGTCTGGTGGGTGCCCTTTTCAGCTCATCGCTTGGACTTTGCTAGCATATGAAATGTTCAAAGCTTGATCATTCAAGGAGAAGATAGCTATATTTCTTCTAATTTAATGCGCGAAATAATGCCAAGCGGTGAAAAAACTGGATTTATTTATTTAACGTCACAAAAGCACCAGTTGGTGAAGATAACCATTATAATCACTGGTGGTAATACAATGAAGATGAATTGACGAACATATTTATCGCCGGCCAAGTGTCTAACACAGTGGAGAGGAACAGGTTAGAAAGCAGAAAGAGGCTACAGATCCTGAATCTGTAAAGCTTAGACCTTCCAGCAATGTCGATTACAAAACGGTATCCAACATCATTTCTGGCAAGGTGATCCAAGGCATCATTGATTTGATCTGGCTTTCTACCCTGCTGACAGAAACTTGAAAAGTTGTTTAGTCTCTGTCGTCACAGTGTCTAATGTCTATCTCTATGGACAAGACAAATGGCCGGGTGAAACCGTACCAAATATTGATAGAAAGGAGGGTCAATAGGCCTGTTTGGTGCTCCCACAGCCACTAAAGTCCCATTTATTTTGAGCAGCTCCCAGATTGGTCCAAGTTAGTGGTTAGCTGAAACAGTGTCCACAATAACGTCTAGCGTTGTCTTACCTCTCTGTTAAGTATCACAAAATCCAAAAGATTCAGAAGCCTTAACAAAGCCTCTTCAAAGTGAAATTTCAAAAATCCTTGGAGAAACAAGCAGAAAATCAAGAGTACGCAGCAAACTTGCATTTGTTCAGCATTAGTATAACTACGAAACCATCTGCGCCCAAACGCTGTCTATCCTACTGTTCTTTTGAATGAGAGGTGCTGATGACGGTTACGTGATGACCAAATGCCTATGCCGTTTTAACAGCAACATGAGTACGTTGCCAAGATCCCCCAGACCAACTATTCCCACCTTTTTCCATGGTGACTAGAGTCGTCGGCTGTCTTTCATGGGGCTAAAACCAGTTATAGATCGTGATTTTGAAATTTAGGCTGCTCAAATCTTGGTCTGATCCAATAACTTTTGGACATGAATGGGACCATTAATTGGGCGTCTGAAGCTTTCTTGGGTTCCCACCTCTCTAGCTCGCTTCGGACTCATTGAACCCTTGAGTTTAGCCCAAGCCTGAGGCATTTCACCCCACCCTTGGTTTTCTTCAACCATAACCGGCATTAGTAGCAACTATCTTGTTTGTGTGTGTGTGTGTATATATATTCCTTTGAACTGTGGAAGAATTCTGATGCTGTTTGGTTGTATAGTTTTGCTATTAGCATGGACAACTATTTTATTTATTCTTATGGTGATTTCGGTGGCGCAATGATGGGTGAAGCATTCCAAGCGAGCGGAAACGGAATTTGTCCATAACAAGGCTGAGAATAGTTTATTAACTATCTATTCTTTTCTAGTTCTTTCGTTTTCAAATTGTTGGTTTTGTTTATACCAAACATTCGTAAATTATATATTCTACACATTCAAATTTTTTCCTAAGTTATTATCTTATGCTTTCCCAGCAATATTAACCCTTTTGTACAATTGGTTTCTGTCATGCCTGTGTTTTCATCGGCGTTGATGGCTCTTTGATGCATGTTTTAAGGCTTCGATTTTAAATGCTTGATTAGGTCGAGTTAATCACCCTTATTGTTACCTTAGCCGGAAATCTGTAAGCGGGCAATTTGATATTCAAAATGAAGCATGCATGCAGCTTAACAGTCTTCCATTGACAAACACCCCTGGCCCGCGGCCCCCAAATGAGTGCATTCCCTATGTTGACTGATACTTATCACATGAACGTACAATATGGCTGCCCGCATCATTCATTTTTTCTCAGATAAGAAAATCAATGGCTGGATTAAATGATCTCTATCATTTAGCGTTATTATTTCTAGTAATACGTTTATCTTTTTTGTTTTGGGTAATAGGAGGGAAGTAACATTTGGATATCTCATATCTGCGTGTCTAAACATTTAAAGCTTTGAGGGGAGGGTCCGGAGGGATCTGTGAAAGCTTGCGAGCAGCCATTATATTACCGATCCGAATACTACTTGGTATACTGTGATGTTACAGATTTGAAAAGTAGCATGGGGAATTGATGAAGAATGATGAATCAGAGCTGACAGCTATAATGTCTCAACCATCAATTTGACAGGACTGTCTGACTTTTCTTCACTATCGAATCATCTCATCTCATCTACCAGGAAACAGATTTTTTAAAGAGAGCAGCAAGGGACATGATCAAAACCCTAACAGCGCCCACTTGGTGAATCATTACCGGGGTGTTAGTGCTTTCCGTTGTCACTGAAGACATCATTCCATTGGAATTTTAGTTACTACAATTTTCCTTTTCAATGTAACTTCCTTTCATGCAAAAATGTACCCATAGCTTTAATGGAAACTGGAAATGTTAGTATAAAACGTAATGACAATTTTTGAGGATTTATGATGCAAGGAAAGTGCACCTGCTTCAACTGTTTCACTTCCAAATGAGGAGAGGCAACAGCAGGTAGAGCGGTTCCTGTCCTGTTTGGGCAGTAGAAAATTTGGTTGTAGAAGTGGCCATATTCTCATTATGGTAAATGAATGATAACAAGGGTGGTGGCACTGGCAGAATTAAATACATATACTTTATCAAAGTATTCACGAGTCATGACAAAACATAGTTCCTAGCTGATACTTATTTTATATTGTTTGCTTTAGGTAGAAGTGTTACTTATTTGAAACCAACTCGTATGGGCATTTACCAAAAACACTAGCAAAAGTAGGTTGCGGTTGTGGAACAAAGGAAAGCCGAAAAGTTTTCTTCTCTCAAACTTTAAAAGATTAATGTTTCATTTGGATGGTAACAAGATTAAATATGATAAAATTAAAAAAATAATAAAAATTATTATAATTATACTTAAAAATATATTATAATTATGATTAAAAAATACTAATAATAATTTTATATTAAATAAAATTTATTAAATTAATATTTAAATTTATTTAATAATATGATAAACTCAATCATATCATATCTTCGGAATCCAAACCGAAGGAGACAAGAAATGTAACCTTGTTGATGGAATCTCCCGAGTGCAACTTGAAGTCACAGCCGCAGAGAACCGCCGTAGATTGACAGTGGAGTATTCAATTGTCCATGCATATCATTGCAGTGACATAGACTTAACGAACTTTATCTTCCGCCCCCACCATCCCTCTCTCTCACGGAGAATAAAGGCAACAACGTTGCAGTTCTAAGTTTTAACCTTCTAGGAAATGTGCCCTAGATATATAGGTGGCAGTCTTTTTCTGAAAAACAAATACCAAGTTATGAAAATTAAGTTAGCGTTTGAAAAATAAACAAATATACGTACATATTGTCTATGTGGTAACCAACTGATTGTGGTCACACATATAGATTCCTCAGCTTTAGACCTGAAAATTTTAACATATTTGATACAGACAAAGAGATGCAAAGAAGAATAGGCCCATCTATCAAATCAAAATTTTTTTCTGACGTCTAAAATTCACATTAATTATAAGGGTTAAACCAGATATACTTTGGTTTTGAATTAAAGAGAGTTTCTCTCAATTCGAAGCGAGTATAGAAATCTGCAACTAGCTTGAATGAAAATAAAAAAAATGGTTCATCGAGGAATAAACGAATAGTATGGTAGGTGTCAAGTATCATATTTTAAAACCCGTGGTCCATTGCTTGAGAGAGCAACAACAAAAGCACGAGCATCAACCCCACCAAGCCCGATGATACCAAAGCCGAAGATCTCGATCAGTCAGACTCTCTGGAGATCCATTTCGAAAGTTCTGTCTTGGCGAGTGGAGAGTTGAGGTGCAGTCCTCATCGTTCAATGCTCCAACAATCAAGATGATATTCTTGTTTTCTTTTACTTTATTGGGGTCGTGTACGCTGTACAGAAGCATCAGTGAGGCAGTACTTTGGTACATCATTGTCACAATATAAAAAGGGTTTGAATTTAACTTCATTTTCATAACTATCATACTATAGCCTAATTTAATATTTGAAAAATATGCTGCTACATTGTATATTTAGGCAGGCATAAGAGCATAGGCCACTAGACGTTACATCTCTTCCTTCCGATTTCCCATCTCATTCTCTCTCTTCCCCTCTCTATTAATCATGTGGGCGTCACCTGGTAGAAACTGCAATAATAATAAAGACAATATGCTTCTCCTTCAAAATCCTCTTCCATATGCTCTCCCCCTACACCCTGTTCACCATCATCTCCAATAATCCCTAGCTGATCAGCAGAAAAAAAAAAAATCCATGGAGGATGTCTGGAAAGATATTAGCCTGTCTTCTCTGAATGATCGACCTGCAAGCACTTTCAACTCCACCACAACCAATAACCCTACCTTTCCTGGCATGATCCTTAAAGACTTTTTGGCTAGACCCCTCAACAAAGAACGGCCAAGAAGATCAAGTGTCTCCAATGACACATCCCTTGTTGAAGAAACCACCCTTTTTGGCTCTCTAGCACCCATTCCTGGCACAGTACTGAGCTTGAATTCTGGGTCTGATTTCCAATACATCGAAAGTGGTGATCCTGTGAGGCCAAACCCAGCAATCAACGGGCGTACCTCTATTGCAACTCCTTTTGGTTCTTCTTGCAACTCTACTTTTCATGTTTTTGGTTCTTCTGCAGTTGTCCCTTTTTGAAAAAAAGAAGGGATTGCAACTCCATCTTTTCGTTCTTCTTACAACTCTACTTTTCTTGTTCTTGGTTCTTCTGCAGTTTTCCCTTTTTGCAGAAAGAGGGCTCAAGAAAATAATGAAAATTCCGACCATCGCCGGCATAAGCGTATGATGAAGAACAGAGAGTCAGCTGCTCGGTCAAGAGCTAGAAAACAGGTAAATCTCTTTTGACTTTTCTTCCCTCGCACATTGACATGC